GCAATAGGGGTTCTTCTGTAGAACATTGGGCCAAATTGTGCTCCCGTTCACACCAGTGCTGTGTCTGAAGTAACTCCCCTCAAACCTGTGGAATTGCTCTGGCATGAAAGGGGAACAGAATATGGCCTTTCATGCACTAACGTGATTTTTCATTTCAGCCATGGTGAAATCTCTATTTTAGAGCAAAACTTCAAGTTGCATCTTGTGAATTATCTTCAGGAAAGTATTATGGCAAGCTTCACAGAATCCGTGAAGGGTTAAGTTAGGCCTTTGTGTATACTTACATGGAGATCTGCACTCCAGTGATCAATCTTCTGGGATTTGATTTAGTGGGTCTAGTAAGGGCCTGCTAAATCAAACACTGATAGCACCCCTGTTGATGCTGGTACTCCATGAGGTCGAGTGGAGTAAGGGAAGTTGATGGGAGAGTTTCTCCCATTGACCTCCTGCAGAGAGGAAGCCAGAGAAATTTGATTTAAGATAGGTTCACAACAGCTACGCAATTCTCGTAGCTGGAGTTGCATATTTTAAATCGAATTTCTCATGTAGTGTAGATTTGGCCTTGGTCAGAACAGAAGACAGAATTTGACGCCCAGTGGTTTTCCTCCAATTTATTTGTGTTTTGTACTGAGTGTGTTGGGTAATCTACTCTACTCTTGGATGAAGCATCAGTGGGAATGGATGCTAAAAGACCAATGCCGTATATGGTGAGTAATGCTTTTAACTGGAGACCTAAATCAATTCAATATCTAAGAAGATTAGAGTTTTAGGCCACCCACAGAACTGGCCATGCTCTCGTTAGTGCAATAATCACTACACAGCCAAACAGCCTACCCCCTAGAGAGCAATACATCAGTATTTTGCCTCCTGCCAGATGGTTGGGTAGGAAGAAAGGATCGTTGTGTCTACTCCTTAAACTTTACTCACCCATGCAAGGACATTACTACTTAACCCTTGGAATTAGAGCTAATGAATCATAGAACTGGAAGGGACCTCAAGAGGTCAAGTCCTGTGCCCTGCCCTAAGCTTCATTGAAAATTCTGAGGAAGATTCTTCTGCAAACCAGTCAGAACCTGCAATAGAGTCTCGGGCTCAGATTTTGCTCTTATTTTTTCTCTTCTGCAAACCAGTCAGAACCTGAAATAGAGAGTCGGGCTCAGATTTTGCTCTTATTTTTTTTCTGAACTGGTTAACTTGTTGTTCATACGTGGCTCCCATTACTTGACCACTGAAACGATGCTGTTCTGATGCCGGCAAGGCAAATTTAAACTCGTGTCCACTATTGTTGAGGCAAAGGAAACAATTAAAAACTGCCTGGTCTAATGAAGCCAGCCTATAAAATTGTATAGAGAATGGATTTCAGTCATGGATGGAAATGTTCTTGGTTTCATAGAATCATAGAACCATAGAGCTGGAAGAGACCTCAGAAGGACATCAGGCCCATCCCCTTGCTCTAGGCAGGACCAATCCCAACTAAATCACCCCAGCCAGGGCTTTGTCAAGCCGAGACTTAAACACCTCTAGGGATGGAGACTCCACTACTTCCCTAGGTAACCCATTCCAGTGCTTCACCACCCTCCTAGTGAAATAGTTTTTCCTAATCTCCAACCTGGACCTCTCCCACCGCAACTTGAGACCATTGCTCCTTGTTCTGCCGTCTGTCACTACTGAGAACAGCCTCTCTCCATCCTCTTTGGAACCTTCCTTCAGGAAGTTGAGGGCTGCTATCAAATCCCCCGTCACTCAATTGGGAATTGAAGTAAAAATTCTCAACTTCCTGTTTGTCTTTTACTTCTCTAGAGGGAAGTGACTACACGCTGGTCCATGCCAACAGTTGGAATTCAGCCTTTAAAGTTCATCTATATTTTGTGTCAATTTAATAAAAACAGGAGTCTGCATTCAGATATGGCCATTTAACAGATCCTGTTTGTTTCATTACTGTCTTAATGGATGTCTAGACTGCAGAGCTTTTCAGAATACCAGAAGTGTCCTAGAAAAGCTCTGCCGTGTCCAAGGAATGCGTCTGCTTTTCCAAAGTTTTTTTCAGAAAAGCAGACCTTTTTTTGGCCTCCCTGTAAACTGCGTTCTACAAGGAAGAAGGGATGTTCCAAAAGAGGCTTTCTCCCCCCACCCCCGAAGTTTGGCCCAGTGTAGATGGGCCAATTGTCGGAAAAGCCTCTTTTGGAAGAAAAGCGGGAAAAGATACACAAATTGCCAGTGGAGTCATGAGACTGTGTTTAGCTTCCCTAAGAAACTACTCTGGGGTTTTAACTACATTATCACTGCTAATTAATATGTCTGAGCTAGTTTCAGGTAAACAGAATTGCCTTACTCTGTTCATTTCCTGGTCTAATAGAATAATTAGGGATTTCAGTGCTGATGGAGATGGCATGCACCTTACATATGCAACTCAGTCTGGATTTTGAGCTGACCCTTGTCCTGCAAACTGATTGCTCCCATCTGCAGGTGTCCAGCTGCAGAAACCCTGCCTCAGTTTCCCTAGCATCATCTTTGGCCTACGTCAGGTCATAAGAGTGACCTGCCCCCCGCAGCGACCTTTCACAGAGTCCATCGCAACTTCAGTAGCTACTCCATCCTCAGCAGGTGCATTTCAGCCACTCAAGTCTGTCGTCCTCACCCTAATCTACTGTGCCTCCATCAACCTACCGGCCCTGGGGGTAGCACATTCCGTACTCGGGGGTCAGCCAGGCTGCAGTTTGTCAGAGCCCTCGTCTCTCATCAAACTTGCCACTTGCCCCTGGATGACCCTGTCTGTTCTCCTTCTCTTCCACCTTTTCAGGTCCTGTGCCTGGCGTAAGAGGCAGGGCAGGTGTATGCTGGGATAGGCTCCCTGGCTGAAAGTTAATATAAGAACGGCCACACTGGGTCAGACCAAAGATCCAGCTAGCCTAGTATCCATCTGCCAGCATTGGCCAGTGCCAGATGCCCCAGAAGGGAGGGATCACAACAGGTAATCCTCACATGATCCCAGCAGCAGATATAGGGCAGGGCGAGTGGGGCAGCTGCCCCGGGCCCCGTGCTGCAATAGGCCCCACGCCGAGGCATGTGGCTCAAATGGCCACTGAGTTCTGCGCCGCTCAGCCGGGCTGCTCCCGCGGGAGCAAGGCATTGGCCAGTGCCAGATGCCCCAGAAGGGAGGGATCACAACAGGTAATCCTCACATGATCCCAGCAGCAGATATAGGGCAGGGCGAGTGGGGCAGCTGCCCCGGGCCCCGTGCTGCAATAGGCCCCACGCCGAGGCATGTGGCTCAAATGGCCACTGAGTTCTGCGCCGCTCAGCCGGGCTGCTCCCGCGGGAGCAAGCTAGGGGAAGAGAGAGTGAGGCAGAAGGGGGGGAGAAGAGAGAGAGTGAGGGGGAGGAGAAGAGAAAGAGAGAGTGAGGCAAGAGGGGGAGGAGACTTAAATACAAATGAAAATTTTTAATTATTAACGCAGAATTTTGTTTAAGACTGACTTACAATATAATTAAAATAAAAATTATCCAACTAAATTAAGTTTCTATCAAATTTACCCAATTCACATGTAATGTGAAAATAGCCTTCAATTTTCACATTTGATGCCTTTTTTCTATTTTTTTCTCCAAAGGGGGGCCCCACAAAATTGTGCTGCCCTGGGCCCCGCAAAACTCTCATCTGCCCCTGAATGATCCCTCTCCTGTCACCCACCTCCAGAGAAACAGGCTAGGGATACAATTCTTACCCATCCTGGCTAATATCCATTGATGAGCCTAACCTCCATGAATCTATCTAGCTCTTTTTTTAACCCTGTTAAAGTTCTAGCCTTCACCACATCCTCTGGCAAGGAGTTCCACAGGTTGACTTTGCGCTGAGTGAAAAAAACTTCCTTTTGTTTGTTTTAAACCTGCTGCCTATTAATTTCAGTTGGTGACCCCCTAGTTCTTATATTGTGGGGATTAAGTAAATAACTTTTCCATGTTCACTTTTTTGACGCCTGTCATGATTTTATAGACTTCTATCATATCCCCGCCCTTAGTCTCCTCTTTTCTAAGCTGAAAAGTCCAAGTCTTTTAATCTCTCTTCCTATGGGACCCATTCCAAGCCCCTAATAATTTTTGTTGCCCTTTTCTGAATCTTTTCCAATGCCAGCTAAGAGACATTTATATACCTTGTTGTAAGCCCCAGTCTTATTTGGCTATTATGCACTTAGATAAGAATACACTTCTATCTATGACCATGGCATTTTTTTCCACCATGAAAAACAGCCAAGACCCTCTCCCTACTGTTGAGTGCCATGCTGCTCACATTACCCAGAGTACAGGATACTGCTGCTTTTCACGAGCGACGCAGTGCATAAATCTTGCTGCAGATGGCTGCGACAAACCTCTTCTGTGCATTAGTGCCCCGTAGGCTGACGGCCACTGACCTCGCTGAGTCCACCCTCCAAAACAGCCTTCCTTTCAGAACATTTCTGTTTGTTTTGTCACAGGTCATTCTGAACACTCGGTGTTCCCTGTAAGCTGAATCTCTCTTAGGAGAGATTCAAATGTCCCCCAGCTGATTAGCAGGGCACCCGCAGCCGGCAGCATGTGTGTCTCCTGGTGGTGCACATCCACCCATTCTTCTGTGCACATAAAATTTATTCCACACACAAGTGCGGCACGTTGCTTCTGACAATGGGGTTTCCGCCGTTGCTCTCGGGGAACTTACTTAGAAAGCAGTGTACGCATCCCTAGTTTTCACGATTGAATATGTGCCATAGAAATCTGATCTAGTGCAACTTTATAGCTAAGCCTTTGTGCTATAGACGAAATGAGACGATCCCCTTGTAAAATATAGTTTTGGGGAAATTCATGTTTTTTGATGCCTCTTGTTTCCACTTGATAAGGGGGGAGGGATTTTCCCAGGCAGTGAGACTTACTTCACAGAAGCTCTGCTATATACAGTATTGTTCAAATAAAATTGTTGATCTGCTGAGGTAAGTAACCTTTTGCCCTTCAACCTACATCAAGGCATCATTGCGCCACTGGTAAAAACAGCTCCCACTCTTGCAGGAAGGAAAAGAGTGTACAACACACAGCCTGGTTTTAATTACTGCATTCAGAGTTTCAAGAGTTCCCTAAACCTAACTTTTGAAAGGAGTTTTCCTTCCACAATTGGGCAGCGATATGGTCCGTTAGCTCTCTAGAAAAGAGAGAAGTCTGGAGAGCTGCCAAAGAGGGCAGAAAGGGGGCAGCTAGAGAAATAACCGAAATAGTCGTATAAGCTATGTCTTCTTGGCAGGATTCTTGAAGGGTGGGGGGAGTCACGAAGAAGTACTGAATGTCATTACAGCGATTTAAAAAGTAACTGCAGGGAAAAGACGACAACTGCATTGTGTCCAGATCCATCAGAGGAGCTAATATTCTGAATTCTTCTCAAAACTTTCCCTCCCTGCAAGGTAAGCTTTCTGATTTTTTTAAGATTCTGTTTGACTCGGAATGCATGAAAATATCTGGGTCGTGAAAGACTCGTAACGCAATGCTGCTCCCGGGTGCCCAGCTGTTTTGTTTACTACACGCTTGTTTGAACGGCATAATTAGTAGATTTAGAATGTTTCTAATGTATGAAATTTAAATTCTTTCTCCTGAAGTTTATTACCATTTAAAGATCCAACAACAAAAACTGGCCTTTTTTGTTTGCATGCGTCCGGGGTCCAATAACAACTCACACATTTTCAGCCTTTCACTGCACATGTTTTCCTGCAGCGTGTAGTCTGGTTTTAAAAGGAGGCAATCAGATTAGATGTAGCACATTTTAAAATATATATTTAAACTATAATGTGTAAAGAGATGTGTTTCTTTGATGTATTTTTAAACAAGTCCGGGGGTGGGGGTATAATTTTTTGGGGGAAAGCAGTTGAAAATTCCTCCACACTGTCTTCCACCATCTTCTGTAGCATTGTGCTCATGAATGTATGTCTACACTATGCAGACTGTATCAGCATAGATGTATTGGCATAGACCTGTAGTATAGTCGCAGACTACACCGGTATAAGGGGTTCTTTTTTCTGTCACTGTGGGGACCCCAAATCCAACTGACAGCTGGGTCTGCATTTGGAAGTTCTATTGGCATGGTTATGTAGATCAGGGAGTGGAAAAACCCCACCCTACTGACTGAGCCATGCCAACATAACCAGGGTGTAGACAACTACAACAATGGGAAGGTGCATCCGTTGAGTGAGCTAATGTCATTCAGAAAGGTTCTATTCTTACTTGGACAGTTGGGCTATGCTGGCATAGCAATACCGGTATAGTCTTTATAGCATAGACACATCTTACATGGGACTGAAGCACCCTTTTGTTGACTAAACCGCATTGATGCTCGAAAGTGGGTTGACATAGCTCTATGGGTCAGGTGTGTGGATTTATACAGTGCTGAGCTAGGCATACGCAGGTGAAACAATTATTCAGGGTCCCAGGCAACTCAAGGAATGGAAAGATCTGGGTAGATTCTTCTGGGCAGACCTATACTACTGGTTCACTTCATCCAATGCAGCCCGCCCAGCGGTGTGAAAAAGCTCCCTGCTCTGAGCAAAACAAGTTTTTCACGGTCTACACCAGTGTTATTGTGGCAGGAGAGGGTCTCCCACTGACATAGCTTCTGCATCTCGCCAAGATGGAGCGATTACACCAATGGACAGCCACTTCTTCACCAGTACGTGTCATAGGGGAATTTCTAAAAATAGTATTGCTTCATGCCTCCAATGGGCTAGTACCACTTTTGGCATTGACCAATGTAGCTATGTGGATACACATTTTGGCTACGTCTACACTACAAGTTTTCTCTGCAAAATCTGCAAATGAGGGACTCATTTGCATGAGTCGCAATCTCATTTGCATATTTTCTGCCAGTCTGTTATTGTGCTGAGGTTTTTGTGCAAAAACAAGCAGTGTGGACATTTTCTTTTTGCACAAAAAACCCTTTTTCCGCAAGATCCTTGTGCCCCAAAAAAGGAGGTATACCGATTTCGCAGAAAAAGGGTTTTTTGCACAAAAAGAAAATGTCCACACTGCTTGTTTTTGCACAAAAGCCCCAGTGCAAAAATGGATTGGTAGAAAATATGCAAATGAGATCAAAACTCATGCAAATGAGTCCCTCATTTGCATATTTTTTGCCTAGAAAACTCATAGAGTAGATGTAGCCTTTGAGTATAGACCAAGTATTGTCCTTCAGTGAGTTGCTGCTCCTAGACTGGTGGAAAATCTCTTCTACCTCTATACAGTACTAGGAAGCTATACAAGAGTAGGTTCAATAATCTTTGAGGTGTTCTGTGGAGAAAGCCAGTTGAGGTGGTATCAGTACCTGGTGCTGTGTTGTTTTAGCAATTCTCACACACACAGTTTATCATAGGCATGCACCAGTGTTTCAAGTGTATATTATCTTTCAAGAACACTGGACTTTTAAAAATAAAACAAAATTAAAAACCCAGAAAATATGCCATAGACATTTCCTTGTAGGAGTGAAAAAAATAAAATAAATGGGCTCCGGTGAAGTTTAATCTCTGTTAGGATGGGAAAGAACCAGGGAATTGAAAGGTAAAATTGCATGTCAACAGTTACATGCAAATCATCGCTTGTTGACTAACTCTGCCCCAGACAAATTGCTATAATGTGGTACTCTCAGACTCGTTTAGAAAGCACTCCATGATGTTTTTGCAGTTTTGTGTTTGGTTAACTCACTTGTTTCTTGTCCAGGCGAGGAATGGTGAAACAGTTGATGTAATTGTGCCGTTCTCCTCGTGACGCTTTAGTTGGGGAGCGAATATGCAATTGTTTCTTGTTGGCACATCTGCTGTGCTTTGGAGATGTGGTTTTCCCTATGTGCAGAGCAATGGAATGCCTGCCTGGAAGTGTGTAAATCAGCTGCTGAATGAATTTTGGAGTGAGTTTATTACAGCTATTCTGCAGGGAGCTCAATTCCAGCTGTACACAGAGACTATTTTTTGTCCTCGCCAAGTACAAATGTTGACTTTTGCTATCTCTTGGAGCTGAGTTTGGAGTGTGGTGGTGATGTTTCTGTGGCTTGCTGTGGAGGTTAACTCTGTATTGCCTGGGTTTCTGAAAGATAATTTTACACACATTCAGAGCCGTGTGCAACCTAAACATTTCCACACCCCAGTGCTTGATGGGGAAACATCTTGAATTGAAAAAAAAATCACTCCCTTCATGAAAAGGACCCTGTCCTTGCAGATGCTGAGATCCCTTACTCACTCATCCTGATGTGCTCCCCAAATCTCCAGCGCTGTGATACACCCCCATCTCTTATGCTCCAAATCCGTCTCGTCCTACCCATTGGGGTCAATGAGCATTTTGCCATTGGCTCAGTAGGATCAGGATCAGAACTTTGCAGTCCATTCTTGAGCAAATCACTTCACTTCTGTGTCTGTTCCTCTGTGTATAAAATGGGGATAGGACACACCCATGTGAGAGAGAGGCTAAAGGTTAGTTCATCTTGGTACCGGACATTTGAGGATGCCAAGTGCTTTATAGTGCATATTTGTTTATGAGACTGGGATCGTGGAGGAGGAGGCTTGAAATGTGGAATTTAAACAAAACAAAACAACTGTCTTGTAACCTTAGTTTCTGAATTTCCCAGGCATAACTCGTGGATTTACCTGGTGTTGCTCGGGTCCTTGACTCAATTCATTTTTCTTTGTACATTTTCGTTTTATGTTCTATACTTTGTTGAACTCGTTGCTCTGGGGTGGGGCAGAGGAGGAGGGATTCAGCAGGCAGGTTGCCCTGGGGAGAGAGGACAACGCCAGCCCTCTCTCATCACAGCTTGGGGCCACGCTTCTGCATGCCCGCTGCAGCTCCACCGGGCACAGCTGGGGGCGGGGAGCATGTCCCCTGCTTGGAGCAGGTCAAAGTTCATCTGCCCCTTACACTCCCCAGCCATAGTGAGGAATGCAGGGAATGTCAGGGAGTAAGGGGAACAGCCAGCAATGTCCCCCTTTGAATTGGGAGTGGAGAATATCAGCCCCTCCCCACCTTCTTTCAAGGGTGCATGGAAAGGGGAAGGGGGGGGAGAGGGGATGTGGCAATCCCAGAAGCAGGGGGGGGCATCCCCAGACAGCCCCTTCCCCATTTTCCTGGTACAACTAAACCCCTTCCCTGCTTAGTTATGATCAGAGGAAGCTGAAACCGAATATGGTGGTTCTAGTTCTTCCCGTTTAGGAAGAGTTCTTGAATAGACAGACACACAGGCAAACTCTCTCAAATATATAGTAGATTAGTAGCAGCAAGTTGTTCTATCAAGTAACTAAGGGGTAGTTTGGGGTCTCAAATGAGAGTTGTGCTCCATAATGTGATGGCTGGTGTAATTTCGCATTTCTCATAGTCCTGCTCTTTCTGTTAGAGTGGCATTTCTTTTGGCTTTAGGAGTAGATAGTGGTTTGTTCGTAGTGGTGGTGATGATGGTAATAATAATAATGTGGTAGATATATTTTGGTTTCTGTCACATTTTTGCTACTCCAGAATAGCACATTGCATCAGCGAGATGCGATGGTGTAGCCATGTGCACATTTATCATTTCTCCTTCTGCTTTTTGTGCTATTTGTCATCCAATTCCAAGTCTGAAGGGAAAAATACTCCACAAGCAACTATGTCATGCCAAGTGATCTCAAATCCCATTGAAATCCATGACAGCGGAGGATGCACAAGTATGTTCCAGGATAGGTCCTTGGTTAGCACTGAAAAAGTAATTAATTAGCTATCGGAACCCACAGCAGCTGGAGCATGTAAGTGTTTTACTCCTCCTCCTCCACAAAAAGAAGACACCATATGCAACAACAACATTAAGGGGAAACTAAGCCATGGAAGTGCATTTGGCATCATTTAGAAATAAACTACAGCTGTCCAGACAGCAACATCTGGATGCAAAGTCCGAAGGGAAAACAATGAAAAATATCCATTTTCAGCTACAGGGATCAGAGGCAAAGCTGTCTTATCCTGAGCTGTGTGTGTGGTGTCACGGCTGTGTTGTTCGCCGGATATTAGAGAGATGAGTTGGGTGAGGTAATAACTTTTATTGGCCCAATTTGTATTGGGGAGAGTGACTGAAGAAGTGGTCTTTATGGCTCGAAAGCTTGTCTCTCTAGGCAGCAGAAGCTGGTTCAATAAAAAAATATTGTCTTACCTTATCTCTGTAACTAAGCTCTTGTTCTTGGAAGGACAGGACATCTGTTTGTATGAGAGCATAGTTTAGCCAGGAATGCATAATAAGTATGCCGGATTTCTGTTTTTCAGATTACAAATATCAGTTAGTTTGAGGTCCTTTTTAGGGAAAAAAAACACTTTCCAAGTAAAAATAGCAGGATGCTTACATGCTTTTTCTGAAGGTGTCAATATAATGAAAAATGAAATAATATTGTCCAATTTCTAGTAAGACTAAAACACCCAACAGAGAAAAAGTTAAGAAAATCCTTCATCTCTAACAGGAAAGTTTTCATTAGCCTTGTAGTTTCTCCCTACCCATAACCTATTGAGCAAAGGAGAGCATGTAAAGGGAGATATTTAATTTCACGGCCCAGAAGAGACAATTTCTTGCAATGAGGTTTAACAGGTAGTTTGATTTAGGGGCTTTATTTCACTGCCCAGAAGAGACAATTTCCTGCAATGAGGTTTAATAGGTAGTTCAATTTAGGGCCTTTATTTCGAATGCCCATTTCCCTGCCACGTGTAGACGCGGGCAGTTAGTCTGAGCTTGTAAATTTCAAAAAATGGCGACCGGCTGAGAACATGCAAATCAAGTGCGGGATATTTAAATCCCAGGCTTGATTTGCAATTTTGAATGCCTACATTAGCCTCCCCAGTTCGAACTAGGGGGCTAGTGTAGACATACCCTGAGGGAGTTGGGTCTGTTTAGTCTGTTTAGTCTGCAGAAGAGAAGATTGAGGGGGGATTTGACAGCAGCCTTCAACTTCCTGAAGGGAGGTTCCAAAGAGGATGGCGAGAGGCTGTTCTCAGTAGTGAGGGATGGCAGAACAAGGAGCAATGGTCTCAAGTTACAGCGGGAGAGGTCTAGGTTGGATATTAGGAAAAACTATTTCACTAAGAGGGTGGTGAAGCTCTGGGATGGGTTCCCTAGGGAGGTGGTGGAATCTCCATCCCTAGGGGTGTTTAAGTCTCGGCTTGACAAAGCCCTGGCTGGGTTGATTTAGTTGGGTTTGGTCCTGCCTTGGGCAGGGGGCGGAACATGATGACCTCCTGAGGTCTCTTCCAGCCCTAGGATTCTATGATGAAGCAATTCTCTGCCTTAGTATCCAAATCTGTAAAATGGAAATGTTGTTTAGCTTGGCAGAGCAAGACATTGTACGAATACAACCATTTTTTCTTAGATGTGTTTTGCACCCAGAGCCTCATGCTTTGGGGGGCCCCGCGGAGGCTGCCTCAACCGTCCTGTGTATGGGGCTGGCACGGGGCAGCACCAGGGGTTATCTCCTCACCGCTCCTCACCACAGAGGTGGGAACTGGGGCCACCAGCAGCCTCTCCCTCCCCTTCCCCCACACACTGTCCTCTCCTGGCTCACTGTGTGCCGCTTCTCCGCCACAGCAGGAAGCAGAGTACCCTGGCTCCCGGGCCCGCCGCTTCCTGCCACCAGAGAAGCAGGGCGCAGTGGGGTGGAAGGGTGGGGTGGCAGTGCAGAGCAGGGCAGGCTGCCAGGCTACTCTGTCTTCCGCTGCCACAGGGGCAGGAAGTGGTGTGGTGGGGCCAGAGCAAGGGTGGGGCTTGGAGCAGGATGGAGCAGAGGCAGATGTGACCTGCGTGGGGGGGGGTTACCCCACACCGAGGTGACTGGAGGGTTTTCCCCAAGCCCTATACCCCCCCCCCAAGGGACAGCCCTGTGTACATCTTTTTTCTTTCTCTCTCTAGAACCAGAAATGCAGAGGTTTCAGAGAAATACAAGTGTCTGTCAGCAAACCAAAGCCCTCTTATGCAAAAATCTACTTATCAAATGGAGAATGAAAATGCAGACCTTTCAGGCAAGTACGAAAAGACAGTTTGGAAAGAAAACAAAAAAAAGTGGGACATATGAGAGGGTTATTTTAGTCCTCCCTCCCCTCCTAATAAAATTGCTTTGTATTTGAGAGAGCAGTGAAAGTGAGAAGCTACTTGAAAAGACCCATTACGGAAGTTTTTTGCAAGGCTTTTTCATCCACCGTAGTTTTCTTCTTGCTGCAACAGACAATAGCAGAAACTCTTTCTGCTGTAGATTGTTATAGAAATTATCGCACACCCCTCACTTTTAATAGCTCACCGTGGTTTTGTGATGACACAGAGAACAGTGTTCATATTATATGCGCCACTGCAAAATCAGTAAACTTTTTACGAAGAGTGCACATCTGTGTTTCCTGGATTTTTGAGGCTACCGGACTACTCTTCGTATTTTCCCTCCTGCGGCATGGATGTTCAAGCATTAACTGATGTGAAAGCTCAAAAATCTGAATGATGTTACAGTGACGTGTTTTTGGGACCCGGTTTAGATTTTGCTGAAATTGTGTTTTCTGAAGGAAAACTGTTCCATCTAACATGTACTAATGTGCTATATTTAGGGATGTAAAATCCGATTTAATATTTGGTTACACTCGATGTTGAACGGACCAGCCGCATTGCAATGTGGGCAGGGGGCCACTAGGGTAGCCACACACCCGTGGCATCGTGGACTAGGCTGGTCAGGGCTGCTGTAATGTGGGCTGCTGCAGCCAGGTTGGACTCCGGATGATGCTTATCGAGTAACCGGTTAACTGGTTTACATCCATAGCTTTATTGCTTATCTGACCATCAGGAACGGAACATTCACTCTCAAATTGTTGTGTCATTATCTCCGCTCATTTACTCTTTTCCATTACCCAGGAATGGATCCTGTCACTACTATTTATCTTTCTGATCTACTTGATATCAACGACCACCTACTATCCCCCAGATCCTGAAATACCGCATGCTTTCCTGGGACGATTGGATGACCCTGCCTATAATGCAACGGGAATTACAGTTGCGTATACACCCGTGACGAGCCGCACAAGACACATAATGAAAAAAGTGGCTTCAGAGTCTGTAATGATGGGTATGCTATGCCCATTAAATATTTAGATTTGTTGGGAATTACAGCTTTAATTACTGTACCTATACTGGGTCTCAACATGTTTTAAAACATATTCTGTTGTTCTACAGTATTCATTAAAATATCAGAACAGCCACACTGGAGTTGATGAACCATTCATCTAGGCTAGTATCCTGTCTTCTGATAGTGGCCAGTGCCAGATTCTTTGGAGAAATAAACAGGATGAGGAAATACAAAGTCCTGCAATCCCAACTTCTGCAGTTAGAGATTTAGGGTCACCCAATGCAATGTGGTTGCATCTTCTGTGAATAGATTGAATCCTTTTTTTTAATCCACTGGTTACATTTGGCTGCCGTTCATTGCCACAGATAGTTGTATATTCATTATCCAGTACCTCTAATTTTCTCTGAACGCTTATGAACTTTGTATTAAGGCAAATGCTAACAGGAAATTATAGTTACCAAGTTTCCGTTGCTGATGGATCATATTAACAAATGTTCACAATGCAGTACAAGAGCATCAAGAGAAACATATGTTTTATTCCCTGGCAGAATACTCCGTAAATTCACGTTCGTTAAAATAGTTAGCAGTCTGAGCCACAAACAACGTTCTTGGCTGAATTTTAATGGTTCTTTCATTATGTTAAAAACTTCATTAACTGCACCTTAGAGTCCAGCAGTGATAGAAGGAGCTTCAGAAAGGAAGACAGCAGAGTTAACAGCAATGTATGCTTTCAGATGGAATACCCAATTATAAATTAAATTGATTTGCTGCTAGCTGCCATCGCAGGGGACAAAAAATAGAGAACTCAGATCAGACACGTCCCCTAGAATGATAACATGTCCCCGATTGTTGACTGGGAAGCAATGCATGCATCGTCGGAAGTTTTTTCCTTAGCAGTACTCCCGTTGGGTAAGTAGGGGAGCCCCCTGGAGGGGTGCCGCTATATCAGCTAATATATACCCCTGCTGGGCCTCCGCCCCCTCAGTTCCTTCTTGCTACTTGTGAGGGTCGTTGGTGCCTTGCTCTCACCAGTTCTCACCTCATGTTTTGTAGAATAGTGTTTTCTGGTTAGTTCTCTTATCTTCTGTAAATAGTCTTAGTGTGAGTAGGTGGTTTCAGTGCTGAGAGACAGAAGGGGCTTGCTTTGTGTCCCCGGAGCTTGCTGCAGGGCATGCCTAGGCTCCAAGACTTTACGTTATGCCCTGTGGGGGCCCTCATGAAGCCTGCCTGAAGTGCCTTGGGCAAGCCCATCTGTACGAGTCCTGCAAGAACTGCAAGGGATTCAAGGCACGTACCAAGTGGGAAAGGGCGTCCCTCCTGAAGAGTCTCCTCATGGAGGTGGCGCTCCGTCCGGCTCCAGTGTCAGACCCAGCGCCGGTGACCTCGAGCACACTGGCTTCGGTGTGTGAGGCACCTAGCCACTTGTGCGCCTCTCCGTTGCCGTGGAGACCTTGGTACCGGTATCAAGACCCAGTACCTCAGAAGAAACGGAGGTCTCCATTGAGGCACATGCTGGCAGTGGACCATCAGGTATAGCACCCCATCCTGGACAGTTGTAGGGCTGCCACACGGTCTTTGGTCCATACCTTTGCCCACCTTTCTGTACTGGATCACCAGGCTATGGAGAATGCAGCTATCGGTGGGGCTGGTCTTTGCTCAGTGAAAGGTTAGAACTCCGACCTTGCCTCCTGGGGTTTGTGCTCTGGAGTCACCTATGTAGAATGGACATGAGCAATCTCTCTCAAAGAAAAAATGGTTACTTACCTCTCATAACTGTTGTTCGTCAAGAAGTGTTGCTTGTGTCCATTCCAAATCCCATCAGCCTCCCCTTCTTCAAAGTAGTCCAGTAAAAAGGAACAAAGGGGGTGGAGGGCCTGCAGGTGTATATATTAGCTAATATAGCGGTGTCGCTCTAGGGGGCTCCCCTGCTGGCCCAACGGTTACTGTTAAGGGAAAAACTTCCAACGATGCGTGCATGCAGCGCATGTGCACCTAAATGGAATGGACACAAGCAACACATCTTGTAGAGCAACCTTTACGAAAAGTAGGTAACCGTTTTTTAACCTCTCTCCCTCATTTTGTACGATGCTCTCCCTGTATTTGAGACTCTTAGACAATGTGAGTCACCCAGTTTCTGAGGAGCATCTCTTTGGCTGATCTTCAGAAGACTCTTTCAGGACTCCAGAAGGTAGCCTTTTTCATCTGCAGAAAACGTCTTTTTCTTTTTCCCACCATGTTGATGAACTCTCACATAAATGGCACCACTTGTTTTTTTAACACAGGGATTATACTTTATGCATCCTATCTGACAAAAAATGTGAGGGATGATTAAATTCAAAACAGTTTTATTGGCTTATTACATGTCATTTCACTTGATTGAGTATCATATTACATGCAATGCCCATGACTAGTCCCGGTGGTTTTCACAACTGTAGGCAAACTGGTACTCAAATCAATAATTCTGATTTGATAAATTCATGGAGGTTAGGTCCATAAAAGGCTATTAGCCAGGGGATAAAATGGTGTCCTTGGCCTCTGTTTGTCAGAGGCTGGAGAGGGATGGCAGGAGACAAATCGCTTGATCATTGTCTTCGGTCCACCCTCTCTGGGATACCTGGTGCTGGCCACTGTCGGTAGACAGGATACTGGGCTAGATGGACCTTTGGTCTGACCCAGTACGGCCGTACTTATGTTCTTATGTTCTTATGATACATACAGTGCACTGTATTAGAACCTAGGCTTCCAGGTAACACATTATTCAGATAAGGACCAGCTCTGAAGTTCAATTGTGTATCTACATATGGATTCCATGGTGTGTCCAGCAGAAATTTGTGGGTGTTGGGATACTAGATTCTTTTCAGTAGTTATCTCTAGATAAGTACTATATAAAATGTCATCTGTGGAGTAAAATTCATAGAGGAAAGCCACAAACCCGGTAAATAGGTGGATATGTAAAATTCCTGTACTCACATTTTTAGTGTTGTGTTGCTAATGATCATAATGTTTTTCATATAAACCACAGGTATAACAATAGAAGAGATGGCAGATGAAAAAGCGCTCGAGGCAGCATGGATTTTGAATGATGAAATGATAGGGGTTGTATTTAAAGATGACTTTACCTATCAACTCAGATTTTCTCCCTCGAATGTGATTGCTCCAAATGAGCATTTTGGACATATAGGTAATTAACAATACATAAATATGGCCTGATCATCAGTTTGTGGAAATTAATATCACTTACTAAAGTGGATTTAGCCCTTAATCTACATGTGTTTTTTCTGACCTAGAAAGAACCACAGTGTGTAACTCCTGTGTTTCAGCAAATTCTCTGGTTTGGCATCGATGGAACCCCGCTAGTGTCGGACTAGAGAGGTTCAACCTGTAACAAAATAATAAAACCCAACAATGTCAACTTTCTTTCAGATATATAGACAGTAGAAAAAATTAGAATTTAGGTGTAATTCTCTCTTTTACGTTACATAGTACATTCCATTTCAGTCTAGTCCCAGGTCTCATCAAGTAGACAGATCAGCCTTGTGGGGTACATTAATATGCATTTTATAGTCTATTTTTGTCCTGTCATCTATTTTACACATCCAGGGTGTGTCTAGACTACAGGGTTTTGTTGAAAAAAGTGGACTTTTGTTGACAAAACTATACCTGCGTCCACACTGCCTTTGAGTTATGTCGACATAACATCGACAAAACTCAGCAGTTTTGTCGACGTATGTAAACCTCATTCTACGAGGAATAACGCCTTTTGTTGACAGAGTTCTGTCAGTAAAAGGCATTATTGCTTCTACACTGTCCTTTGCGTCCACACTGTTATGTTGACAAAGTGGCTTGCTTTGTCGACAGAACTGGATGTAGTCTAGATGCTCTTTGTCGACAGAAGTTTTGTCGACAGTATCTGTCGACAAAACTTCTGTCAACAAAACCCTGTAGTCTAGATGCACCCCCAGATATACAATATGCTCCATATAAATAATGACCAGAAATTAGAAACCAATGGCCGATCCAGTCTAAACTAGTGTTCTCAGTCTTGTGCTCATTGAGAGGCTACAAAGTGAAGTGAAAAATTGGTCCAGCTTGGAGACTCTGTCTTAACTTTTCACCTTGAACAGCATAATTATTGAATAGCAATTATTCAGGCTAGGAACGAAGCACTTTGGTGCAGCCAGGAGTGTAAAGACCTACCGCACTACAGACAGGCTATCCCAGGTTTTGGAGGTTTCTTCTTTTGTTTGTGGTGCTGGGTTCTTTAGTCAAGAGAAGACCTCAGTCAAGCAGCTTTCATTGGAAACTTTACAAACACTAAGCCTTTGGGCATGTTGCAAACTATCTAAAGAAGTTAAAAAAAAACACAACAACACACTGTGCCCACATCCTTAGTACAGAGTTGATCCTGTGCCAATGAAGTAAATAAGTGATTTGGCATTACACATGCACATATGGCATAGGCACTGATTTTCCGTATAGCTAGAGAGGGGTGTATTCAACGCAGTCCATGTCCCCTTCCACCTCTTTCCCCAAGCTCCTGCCTCTGCCCCACCTCTTCTCTGACTCCCAAGCATGCCCCATCTCAGTTCCTCCCTCTCCCTACTTGAGCTTCCTGAAGGCCACAAATCAGTTGTTTGCGGCATTCCAGAAGTGCAACGAACACAGGGGAGCAGTTGATCATTGGGACCACCAATGATCGAGAGAGGCAGAGGGGGGGTTTTGGCTGCTGGTGGAAGCTCAGCATCCACTCACTTTTCTCCATAGGTGCTCCTGCCCCGGACCCACCATGGAGTCCATGACAGAAGGTGCTAAAATGGGGAGCAGCAAGCAAAGAGAGACACTGTCAGGTGTATCCACTGCAGTGGGGATCCTGACCTCATTAGGGATGTTAATAATCGTGTATTCATGTAAACAGATAACTGCTGAAGTTTTTAGTGGTTACATGTTTACATGCAGGGGGGCAGGTGGGAGCTGGTGCTTATGAGGGTTTGGGCTTGTGTGTGTGTGTGGGGGGGCTTCTACCTCTGCCCCCCCCCCCCCCCCCCCCCCATCCCCGTGCAACATCAGCTATCAGGGGGCTCCATGGGATCCAGAATGCACAGGGAGCTGGCTTGACAGCCGGCTTCCTGCTGTACCAGCTCCCACTTTGTCCTTCCCTACCCCCCATGCTGCTAGCTCTGTGGAAGCTACTTGCCAAGTTGTTTTGGATTTCTTGATTTCTGTGGGGTTAACCTGGTTAGTGCATTAAAATGATTATTGCCTATAACTAAGTAAAATACTTTCCCTTTCATCTTTGCAGATTCTTGTTATAATTTTTCAGAAGTTTATTGTAATAGTCCAAGGTATTGGTACAAAGGATTTCTGTCTCTGCAATCAAGCATTGATGCTGCCATTATAGAAGTAAGCAGAATTCTTGCATTGAAATTATTTCCTGTTTGTTCCGGCCTGATCCGGAAACGTTACCCAACATCAGTCCTTCTGTACTCCTGGGTTTTCAGTGCATGGAATTGTTAAAACGTAAAAAGAGCGATGGATCCTCTTGAACTGAGAACTCCTACTGAAGCACAACCCGTGAAACAACCCAGAGTCCTGACTGGTTTGTAAAAGCAGATTGCCTTTGTTTCATCTAGCGCATGTGCACTCATCAGAATCTCTATGCAAATACACCATCTCGTTTAAAAGTTGCAAAGTAGAAATGGTAAAACTTACAAAAGTTACCGGCATACAGAGCTTCCCAAATCACAAGCACAATGCAACTCCTGCAAGCCCAGCAGTGTGTGTGGCCCTAATCGAACTGGGATGTCTAGATTGTGGCTGGAAGAGTGTCTTTCAGAAGTATCCAAAAGCATTTTTTATCATTTCCACCTGGCTAGGGAGTGGCAATTGTTCTTTCCAGTATGATCCACTGGATCTCACAACTGTAATTACTTCCTTTGCCGTGTTGAGACTCCAGCTCTACTTGCAGGGCCGGCTCTAGGTTTTTTGTCTCCCCAAGCAAAATTTTTTTGGCATCCCCCCTCCCCCCCCTTGGCCCACTGCTGCAGGATAGGCACTGAGGAGGAAAGCGCCCCTTTCACCTTGCTGCTCTCTGATTCCCACCCCATCCTGTCTCCCCCCGCCACTGCTCACCGAACCCAGTTTCCACCTTCTCTCCCCTCCCAGGCAAACCTGACCGGACCCAGTCCACCCTCCTTCTCTCCCCCACCTAATCCACCCTGCGCCCTCTCTTCCCTCCCAGCCAAGCCCGATCCCCCCCTCACTGGATCCAGTCCGCTGCCCTCTCCCACCTCCCTGCACTGACCAAACTCCGTGTCCCTTCCCCCTCCCTGCCAAACCCTCATGTCCCCTCCCCACAGCCATGCGTGGAAACATGGGAGCTTCCTGGGGGAGGGGTGAAAGTCCCCCTCCTTCCCTTGCTCTGCAGCTGTAAACACCGTTCCCCAGTGTGAAGGGGGGCACCGCGGGCTCCCCTCCCCTGCAGAAGGAGAGAGGAGCCGCCAGGCCAGGGCTTGCCTGCAGCTGCCACGAGAGATTCCGTGGCCAGCGGCTCCCGGGGGTGCTGCGGAAGTGCTGAAGGGCCGGTGCAATGACAGAAAAACCACGTGTGGCGGAAACTGCAACTAGGAGCAAAAAAGGAGGGGTTCATTTTTTGTCTTTACATCGTTGGGCTATGTCTACACTCGCAGCTTCTTGCGCTAGAAGTCTTGTGCAAGAAAACGTCCACACTGCCATGTGCTTTTGCGCAAGAGCACCCATGGCAGTGAGGACACTTTCTTGCACAAGAAAGCTCTGGGGGCCATTTTAGCCATAGGGGTTTCTTGCGCAAGAAATCCCTGCCGACCATCCACACTGCCCTCTTGCGCAAGAGCTCTTGCACAAGAGAGCTTACACCTGTCAAAAAAGAGCATTGCTTGATTTGCTGCTGCCTAGAGCCGGCCCTGTCTACTTGGGACTTCATTTAAAGTCCACTGAGAAGCAAAAACCAGTGTGGAAAACTTTGGCCCGGTTGGTAATTGGAGTATTTGGTGGCTAGCCATGGTCTGCGTTGGCTAGCTGAATTTTGGGGGCAGAGTTGAAATAGTTGGTATTAACCTCCACAGCCCTAAATGGCTTCAGACCTTTCCAAACTGAGAGACTGCCTCTCTTCCTGTACTATGCAGCTGTACTTAAGATCTGCAAATATACCCGCACCCAGCCCTAGGGAGGGGATTTTGGAAGGGTGTTCTCTGTGCAGGTATTGAAGTGTGCCCCTCATCCTTGGTCAACAGGGACACAGATGAGTTAAACTTCAGCACATGCATGTTTGATAAAGAAACCTGTTGAATAAGCAAATAGTGTTAGGTATGGTGTTGTCCAGACAGTGGAGAGTTGAATTTATTATTGTGTGGGGTGTTGTGGAGTCGCGCTGTGTTTTGATTACATTTTGATCCTGAAATATTTGGCAGGGGAGCCCAAAGTACTCTGAGTGGTGCCTTGAAAAGCTACAAAACATGAGAATTGCTCATCGTACCCACCAAGAGAGTGTAGATCGAGGAACCCCAGTAGCATGTTCTGAGGGCTAAAATACTTAGGCTTTCTCACTTCAGACTAGGGCGTTGATCTCAGATTTAGAATCTCACCTCTGAGGAGTCTCTGCTGCCATCCCCAACAGACCAAGTATGGGAAATGTTGGCAAGAATGCACAACCTGGTCTCCTCTATTGGAATGCTAAAGAAGAGAGGGGGCTAGCCTACTCCACCATGGGCTGTCAATCTAAGTTATACAATTACAGCCATGTGAAGAACGTAGTTGAAGTCGAAATACTTAGATCTAATTACTGCAATGTCTTCACCACAGTAAGTTAACAGCTGATGCTCTTCCATTGACTCCACCTGTGCATTTCATTCTGGTGCAGCACTGGAGTCAACAGGAAAGCACTTAGTGGTTGATTTATCAGGGCTATACTAGACCTGATAAATCAATCCCCGCTAGATCAATCTCTGTCCATTGATGTAGTAGGTAATAAAGACTATGCCCCAAGGTAACCTGGTCTCAAACGTTAAGTGGGTGATACAAGATAAAAGCAGCAGTTAGGCACCAAACTCCCAATTGTACCTTCAGAAGCCTCCTCTGGATTCAAATTTTGTGAAGGCTCAGGTAAGAGCCAGCGTGCTATGACTGTTTCCATCTCACAAGGATATTTATAGGAAAGTCCCCGACAAACCAGGACTCGAGGCCTGTGTCATTTCCATTTCTCACCACTTGAAGGCTTTGGGGGTGGTTTTTGCTATAATACGTTGTGGAAACCATTGTAATTTCTAGCATCACTGTAGGTTCCAGAGCCAGAAGGGACCACTGTGATTGAGCTTGGGCTCCTGTATAAGACGTGGTGTTCAAAGTGTAGGGTGGTTGTTGGTGGTGTTAGTGTATGCTTTGATTTTGCCTGTTGTTTTTAAATGTTTTGTTCATAAATCTCTGGTTTTTTGCTGCTATTTTCAAGCTCTTGTTTGGCCCTTGTCTCTGTTGTGGGTCTTAGTGTTGGATTTTGTTCTGTGCAATGTTCTAAACACAGCAAGGAATGTTTTCAGCTGAGAAATTTAGTCTTGTCAGTGCCAGTATTATTTCTAATGATTTTATGATGTAGTTGGGTTGAATTGTGGAAGTGCTTGGAGGCCTCTGGAACAAGACCCCATTGTGCTAGGCACTGTCTACGTACATCATAAAAAGACAGTCTCTGCCCCCAAAGAGCTTACAAACTATGAACTTTGCTCTCAAATGAACCAAAACCTACAGTGGGGAGAGAAGAGACCCAGACAACGCTGAAATGATTATTAGCAGCATTCTCAACACATCAGCACCCTCTTGAGTGTTTCATGGTAGCTGTGAGTTTTCAGGAGGGAATGGAAGGAGGACAGGGTCGTAGCTTTGCAGATCTACCATGGAGACATGAGAGAAAGAGTGAAGATACTTGAGAGGGAATTGAGCTAGTGGCTCGTGAAGGCTGCCGTTGCTGGGAGACCTGGTGGTGGTAGGTGACCCTGGGAAAAGGCAAGCTCTGGAATGGCAGGGTAAGAGAGAACAACTGTAGGGAGGCAGAGAAGTGGTGATACAATTACAGCAACATACCAGGAAGACAATTGAAGTGTCAGTATTTTGAATTGTCACCTGCAAAGGGAAATCTACATTTCTCAATGTCAGAAAGTAGAAGGTTGCTATCATCCGAAACACAGGCTCCATTTCTATTACCACTGTTTATAATATAACTGTTTATAACTCTGTACTCTGACCTTATTTCATTCCACACAACTCAATTCAATGTGAACTTGGCTATTTTTTTTTTAGATGACGACCAATCACTCTGTCTGGGAAGAAATGAAGTCGATTAGTGGTGTCCGCATGGAATCACCAGGCATCATACCCTTGGTTTCTCTGGAATACAGTTTTATCAGTTTTGCCATTGCAATATGTTTCACTCCATTTATGCACTTCCTGTCGAGCAATCTGACAAGAGAAAAAAGGAAGCTCAAGGAGCTGATGAAGATGATGGGGTTACAGGATGCTGCTTTCTGGTGAGTAACACAAGCAGGGGCGGCCCGTGAACATAGACAGACTCAGCAGTTGCCAAGGACACCACCTTCAACGAGGCGCCCGGTGATGACATCACTGGGTGCCCGGGGCACCCAATGATTATGTCACGGCCATTGACGGCCGTGCAGGCGGGGGCGCCAATTGCGCGTTCTGCCTGGGGCGCCAGCTGCCGCAGCCCGCCACAGGCTGCTCCTGAACAGAAGTAGAGTAGGTTTGCGGCCTTCAGTTATTACATAGCAGAATACATAGACTCTTTGGTATTTGTAAAATGAATGGACAGTTTCTCTCAAGCAGGACAGTTTTTTCATGGGCAGGAGGCACTCACAGCCAGACTCAATTAGATTGGCCAAGGACTTGAGTAGGCATTACCTTGTTACAATTAGAGATTTTCCATTCTGAACATGATCAAAGATGTATTGGGGGGGGGCAGTGAATGGAATCTTGCTCTGCATGGAAGCTTCCTTCATGCTGGGGGTATCTGGCATTGGCCACTGTCAGAAGACAAGATACTGGGCTAGATGGACCTTTGGCTGTTCTTATGTTCTTCAAAACAAACAAACAAAACCCCAGAACAACAAGGAATAGTCTAGCAGCACCTTAAAGACTAACATAACATGTAGATGGTATCATGAGCTTTTGTGGGTACAACCCACTACTTCAGATGAGTGGAGTATTAAAAGTCCGGATCCAAGAATAAATAGGGGAAGGGAGGAGAGGCAGGAAGGGGGAATAAAACTGAATTAGAGTGTTCAAGTTAAAAGAGGCGGATAAGAACAATTTGCATCTTCTCTAAGTACCCATTGTTTAGTTGGTAAAGTCATTAGGATGTGGAAGGTAGTGTGCTAGACAGGTAACTTTATTCATAGCTTTTTGATGGCTCCCAAACTTGTAAATGACATTAAGTTCCAATGCATCCCTGTGTATTTGGCTTGTGAGATTGGCCTGAAACAACTTGGTGACTTTAAGACCCATTAATGAGTGCCCAGGCAGGTTAACAGGTTTTTGTGTGTTGCTTTTTCAGGTATCTGATCCGTATCCATTAATTCTTTCCCGTAAAGACTGTCCAGTTTGGCCAATATACATGGTAGAGGGGCATTGCTGCCATTTGATGGCATAGATTCTTCAGTTTTGCTAGGATGATATCTTAACATTAGCTCCCCTGGAAAGCTTAATTAATAAATGTAACTATTTGGACTTGTGAACCTCTATTTAACGAAGGAGGGTGACCTAAAAAAGTTACCCAATTTTGTTAGAGTTTGTGTGCCTAGCATACATTTAATTAACATGCCTATTAACAGGGAATAGAAAAGTGGTAAGGGGGATAAAAGTAGAATGAAAAGAAATAAACATTAGGAAACTAAGCAGAAGTTAGAGAGCTGATGGTGTCATTGATTTTTGGGAGCTGAAGAGAAGCAATGTCACATGAGACCTGTAACAAGACATTACCTATGGAAGCCAGTGATGACTCTAGTGTGTTTTCTTAAAAACATCCCTGGGACCCAATTGTATTCCGCGTAGAGCTTCCTTTCTCAAAGGAATGAGCCACCCAGCTGCTTCCAAAGCAACTTTCCTTCCTTGTCTCTAGACTCTGTGCGTAAGGACTGAATAGATCAGGGGTTATGAACTTCATCTTTCACTGGGCTTACGGAAATGAGGATGACAATATAATATACAGAGATTCTTGTATCTCTGGCATATACCTGCCAGGTATAGGAGTCCTGGCAGCATGGTCATAGCTGGCATGGAGAGCCCTAGCTGATATGGATGAGTGGTGCTTCCTAGCAGATGGTGTTGCAAATCATTGGTCTCCAGATATCTGCTGGATTTGGGGACAGCCTGTTCTCTGCCAAGGGTTGGGTGGGGTGTGAATAGGACAAAAGCAGGAGCGGCCTGAGGCGGGCTGCGGCAGCTGGCACCCCAGGTGGAACACGCGATCAGTCTGCAGGGCTGTCAGTGGACTGACGTCATCATCGGGTGCCCCAGGCACCCCCATGATGTCATCATCAGGCACCCTGTTGAAGGCGGCAGCCTAGGCGGTGGCCGAGTCCACCTATAGTCACAGGCCTCCCCTGGACAAATGATGCCTTCATTGGTGGAAAGATTGAAGGTGAAAAAATCTAAGTGATACCTTGCAGAAGTCTCCTCCCCCTTCAGCCTTTTTGCTCATTTCCCATGGAAAGGAGAGATGAGTTTTCAAGTTCACTGTCTGACAAACTCCTTTCCGTAACGCCTTACTAACGTCAGTCACATTGACCACTGTATGTGGAATGTCGCAATAGACTTTTCCAGGCATATCCAGAGTAGGGATGTTAAATATCGGTTAATGGAATAGTTGATTAGCCTCATGAATTCTTATCGGTTAGCCGACTGTTCTGTAGTCCCCACGCAGTCTCTGTCTGAGGACGGAGATTGATCTGGCTGCTGGCCTGCCTGCTAAAAAAATTTACTGGTAAGGGGCGGGTGGGAAATGCGTGTAGTCTATAGTATCAACTTATAAGTTTTTGCTTATCGGTTAATTGGTTAATCAACTATACTATTAAATCCCTAATTCAGAGTATTTGAACTCACAATGGGATTTGCCATAGGGCAGAAATCATGACAACTGTCTTTGATTACCCAGAAATATAACAGTATATTTTCATTTTTAGGTTATCCTGGAGTTTGCTGTATATGGTCTATGTTTTGATTATGTCCAGTGGGCTGGCGGCGATCACCATTTCTGAATTTTTCTACACAAGCAGCTACTTTCTGATATTACTTCTGTTTTTCTTTTATGGCGTAGCATCTGTAAGTTGGGATTTTAAAGTGAAATTTCTCCACTTTCTATATTTAAAGTGTCTGTAAGTCATATTCTCTTAGTCAAAAGGCAGATTGAAGAGTAGCCTAACTCTATAGTTTCTGTGTAGGTGCACTAGTTGAACAAGTCGAAGGGATCACCATGTTAGTCTGTAACTTTAAAAACAATGAGTCGTCCTGTGGCACTTTGGAGACTACCAAAATATATATAGCATCATGAGATTTCAAATGTGGGTTTTGCCCACCAAAGTTCATAATACTTTATATATATTTGTTAGTCTCTAAGGGTATGTCTGCACTTGCTCCCTAGTTCGAGCTAGGGATGCAAATGTAGGTGACCAAAATTGCTAATGAAGCGGAGATTTAAATATCCCATGCTTCATTAGCATTCTCATCCAAGCGTTACTCCACTCAACAGCTGATTTGAACCAGGAAGTGCGCTCCTGGATGTGTTAGTTCGAACCAAACCCCTTGGTTTGAATTAACGTTACTCCTCATTTTTTGAGGGTTTGGTTCAAACTAACACGTCCAGGAACACACTTCCTGGTTCGAATCAGCTGTTGAGCAGAGTAACGTGCGGGCGGATCATGCTAATGAAGCGCAGGATATTTAAATTCCCGCTTCATTAGCAATTTTGGTCGCCTACACTTGCATCCCTAGCTTGAACTACAGAGCAAGTGTAGATGTACTCAGAGGTGCCACAGGACCACTTGTAATTGAACATGCTGAGTGATCTCTCTAAATCTCATTTGAAACTCATACTTGGACATTATTTGAAGTACCAGCTGAAGAATTTACTGACACGAGACTCAGTGGGCTATGGACAAATGTGAATGTAATCTCAAATCCATTCACAAAGTCTGATTTTCTTTACGGAACTTTGAGGGAGGGAACATGCCCATGGAACTCTGTAGTGGCCAGTAAATAATGAAATAATTTCCGGACTGCATGTCCCTTTAATTTTATGAAGTAAAATCATCCAAATATAACTTCTTGAATTTCCTCCCTTCTTCCTCACTTTACTAGGTAGGCTCTTAAACAGCAGTTATCATGCTGTTGATCAAGATTTCTCACATGAACATTTCTTGGGGAATGAGTCAACGTGCCTATTACAGGTGGCCCCCGACTTGCGACACAATTGGTTCTTGGGGAAGCATTGCAAGTTGGGGGCATCGTAACTCCAACCCTCATTTATGATAGGCGCTATGCACCATCGTAAATGTGGCCAAAGATATAAGCTGGGGGGTTTCAGCCCCTTCCACACTTACAGAAATGGTTGTGTGTGTTGGGGGGAGGGGTCATAACCCAAGCAGTTGGAAGTCAGGGGTTTCCTGTATAAGGGGAAATTGTGCTTCGCCAGTCTACTAGAATTCTTTGAAAGGATCAACAAACATGTAGGCAAAGGGATTCCTGTGAATATAGTGTGCTTGGACTTTAAGAAACCTTTGACCAATTTCTTCACCAAACTCTTTTAAGCAAAGTAACCGGTCTTGGGGTAAGAGGGAAAGTCCTTTCATGAGTCAGTAACTGGTTAAGACAGGAAAAAAAGTACAGGAAGGCATAGTCAATTTTCAGAATGGAGAGAGGTGAAAAATGTGCTGTGCATATTCAACATATTCAAAAATGATTGGAAAAAGGGCTAAACAGTGAAGTGGCAACATCTGCAGATGATGCAGTCTGCTTCAGACTTCGCTTCTATCCTGTGTAATTTTGCAAGGTGCTACAAAGGGACCCTGCAGAAAGCTGGATGACTGGGCAACACAATGAAATTCAGCGTTGACAAATGCAAGATAAGGCCCACTGGAAAACATCAGTCCAACTGCACAGACAAAATGATGGATCTAAATTAGCTGTTATCACTCAAGAAAGTGATCTTGTGACTGGTTCTTTGAAAACAAGTGATTACAGGTCTAGAAAACATGACCAGTAAGGGAACACTGAAAGAACTGGGTTTGTTTAGTTTGGAAAAGAGAAGACTAAGAGGGGATATGAGAGCAGTTTTCAAGTATCTAAAAGGGTGTTGCAAGGAGGAGGGAGAAAAATTGTTCTCCTTGGCTTCTGAGGATAGGGCAAGAAACAATGGGCTTAAATTGCAGCAAGAGAGGTTTACATTGGACATTAGGGAAAACTTCCTAACTGTCAGAGTGGTGAAACTCTGGAATAACTTGCCTTGGGGGTTGTGGAATCCCCATCATCTTAAGAGCAGGTTGGAATAGACATCTATCAGGGATGATCTTGATGGTGCTTGGTCCTGCCATGAGGGCAGGGGACTGGTCTTGATGACCTCTTGAGGTCCCTTCCAGTTCTGGTTCTCTGATTCTTTGTGCTGCAGCAATCAGAAAAGGAAGCAATGACAGGAACCATTAGAAAAATTGATAGACAATAAGAGAGTCTATATTATAATGCTGCTACATATAAATCCATGGTACGCTCACGCCTTGAATATGGTCTGCAGGCAAGCTGACCGCCATGCTGCACCCCAGGGCAAGATGTGGGGGAAGGGTGGCTCCACACTCCCAGAAGGGGTGGGGCCCTTAGTGCCATCCGGACTGCACACATCCCTCACAGGAGCATCCAGAGCGTACTATCCCAGGCTCCAGTGGCAATTTTAAACACCTGGGATTCTGGCCACAGTCACAGTGACCGTGGGTATCAGCTGGGATTCCCAGGCCCCTTTGAATCACCAGGGCCTGAGGCAGGTGCACCCTTCGCCCCTCCTCCCCCCTCCTCAGCATCCCTGACTGTCAGACATTCTGCCTCGCCTACTTCAAAAACATGTGTTAGCATTGGAAAAGCTGCAGAGAACAGCAACAAAGAGGGTGGACACAGCTTAAGCTTTAGTCTTAAGTGGTGAGACCCCAGTTTAAGCCCTGCTTGGCAAGACTTTGGCTTTATGCCCTGGGCCTCGTTGAGTCTAGGGGGCTCCTCTTAGTGGCCCCCTAACATCTGCTTGCCACTGCCCAAGGAGCTCCAGACCTCTGGTTGGGCACTGCTGCCCTTGAGATCCAGAATATGGATTTAATGTCAGCTTAAAGTGTTTAAAACCAGGCAAGTCATGAGCTTTTGCTGATGGGCCAAGTCTTATGGTGTTGCACAGGTGCAGCTCCTACCGAGGCCACGTATTCACTATGCTGCAATCGATCTTACGGAGTTCTGTTTAGCGGGTCTTGTAAAGACCCACTAAATTGAACTCAGAGAATGCCCCTGTTAGCACCAGTACTCCTGCTGCTTGTGGGGAGTAAGGGAGGTCAACAGGTGCATTTGCTCCTGTCGACCTCCCACTGCAGGGACCATGTGGAAACACGAATTAGGGCAAGTCAACTCCAACTAGAGTTGCATATCTGAATTTGACCTTCCTCTGTAGTGTAGAGCTGGCCACACTTTAGTCTCTCCAGTTTGTCTTCTAAAGGCCAAACCCTAACTCATGACTCTCTCTAGTGTATCCAACCCAATACTGATGATGCACTCTAATGGAATTGTGTTCTACTAACTAGAAGATTCCTTATCTGCAGATCCACTTCTGTTTCATGCTCAGCGCCCTCTTAAAGAAGCCTAAACTCACCAGCTCCATTGGATTCCTCCTCACTTTTTTCTCTGCGAGTCTGAGCTTAATTACATTGGTGGAAAGACTTCCTGCACCCTTGGAATGGGCATTGGGTCTCCTCTGTCCCTTTGCCTTTACTACTGGAATCTCAAAGGTATGGTGAATTCTTTGGAATGCATATGCAGTAAAACTGTAACATGTTGCTAACTGGCTGTGTGTGCTTGTCCATTGACAAGGTAGGATCCTACTTACTGTGTATTGCAGTAGCATTGAGGGACCCCATTGTGCTAGGTGCTGTACAGACACTGCCCCCCGAAATTTGTGGCTCTCACGTTTTCATATGTCCAAACAGCACAGTTTTCATGCATGTCTATAGAATCCCCTGCCCCAGGTAACACCCCCAACCCAGATGCTGTACCCCCTGCTACACCCTTCCTCCAGGTCACAACCCCTTCCCAGACCCTGCACCCCAGTCCCCTATATCCAGTCACAACCCAGATCACAGCTCTCCCTCCTGTACCCAGCCCCCTCCAGATCCAGCTCACTACCCAAATCACTACACACCCTATCTGTTGGCTACAGTTCCCCCATATGAAGAATGTAATCCCGATTAAGGCTATGATTTCGACACGGGTATTTTTAGTAACAGTCATGGACAGGTTATGCAGAATAAACAAAAATTCATGGCCCATGACAGGTCCATGTCTTTTGCTATATAATTATCTCTGACTTCAACTTAGCAACTCCTAAAGCCTTGGGGTGCACTGTTCCAGGGGGAGCCCCAGGACACCGCTGCTTTGGGGGCCTGATGGCAAGTCCCTGTGTGGGGGTGTCAGGGGCTGACTACGCTTTGCTACCTGGGCTGGATCACTGCTGCTCCCCAAGGCCGGTGGAATCAGTCACTGCTTGTGTGGCCCCAGGCACAGCTGTCTGGGGTCCCTCCCCTGCAGTGGCTGCTGTAGCTGGCCCCAGGACTGTTGCTTGGCTGCTTCCCAGGGCAAGCTGCACTGGCTGCTGTCCACATGCATCCTGCCCCGATAGCTGCACAGGGCTGTCTGAACAGCAGCCTGTGTGGCTGGCCCTGGGAATACTCCAGCCTCAGCCTGGATGGCTTGGCCAGAGGGGTGGCCCTGGGGTCAGCCGCGGCAGCTGCGGAAGTCAGAGGTGGTGGATTCTGTGAGCTCTGTGACCTATCGCAGCCTTAGTCATGATATGTGAAAGTCACTTTGTTTGTGCGGGGCTGTGCTGCCCCTGATAGGAGAGTCTGGCGGTGTCATGAGGTTGCACGTCACTGGTGGAGTGAAGCGATTTCTCTTTGTAAATTATGTATCTGCTTTTTGGAGCATTTTTGAACTTTTTGAATGAAGCCATGCACCCGCCCCATCATTAGTAGACGTGTATTCCTTGTGAGGCAAAAAACCTCAAAACAGGTGTGCAGGGAGGGGGGAGGGGATGTAGTGCTAGACTTCCCAAAGCATCTCTGGGTACCAGAGTTGTATGCAATTCTGACCTTCTGGGCCTGGGTTTTTCAGCTGAAGGTTCTTTGTCTTGTTTTTGTTTTTTCTTTCAGATTTTACATTTAGAAAAATATGGAGTGGGTTTCTATTTTTCTAACCTTATGGATGAATCCTATGCCGTATTTACAGCCTATATCCTACTCATTTTTGACAGTGTTTTATACATGCTATTGGCTCTCTATTTCGATAAAGTTTTGCCTGGTAGGTATATTGACAATTCAAATACTGTATATATTTCTATAGATCCACTTACTCCTACAAATCTCTCTTTCTCCCCGCCCCCAGAGTAGTGTTGCCAGATGGTTTCAACAAAAATACTGAACACCCACCACCCCAACCCCCCCAAAAAACACTGGGGAAAAAATTCTGTTGAGGGGAGGAAAGGGAGGGAGAAACCAAAGTTGTTGAGCAAAAAATAAATAAATAAAAACAGCATTAAAACAGTATGGCCCCTTTAATTGCATGCAGAGTCAGAATAGGGATAGGAAAAGGAGAGGTTGAGCACTAAGACCCAGGGGAGGCATTGCTTCCCCTTGTTCAGGTTTTGAGGTTTTTTGTGGGGGCCATCTGGGTTTTTTTGTTGAACCAGAAGGGAGCTTCCCTGCGGAACCAGGGAAACAAGGGGGCGGAGGTCCGGGGGATGTCTAGGGGCTAGGCCCAGTTGCTGAGTGTGTCGTAGGGTTGCCAGGTGTCCAGTATTTTCACCTCCTGGCCGGGAAAAAAACAGAAAATACCGGACATTTCAGGTGTCCGGTATTTTCTGCATTTTTTTTACCAGACAGGAGGCGAAAATACTGGACTGTCCAGGTCAATACCAGACACCTGGCAACCCTACTCCAGACCCTCCCCCCTGTTTACTTCAAAGGAGTATAAATGATGATAGAATAATGCTGAACAAAGTAAAATATCAAATTAGAATTTACCAGGGGTCACCTAATGTCTTTCAACTGGAATGGGTGTTAAACAGCATTTCAAGACAACAGGCTATCGACTGGGTGTGGATTCCTAAATGACCCCTCTATCTCCTAAGGAGCCAATTGTCCTGTTCAACCCAGAATCAGCTCTCATCTCACACTCTTGGTAGCCTCCGCCTTTAAATGACACTCTAATGAACAGAGACAAGCCATTAGCTTATTGTTCAGAGCTGACTCATGTTCACAACTGTGGGAATACAAACAATCGTATGAAATTTGGATCCTTGACTATGAAAATATTATCCAAAGCCAGGGGAGCTGACAGCCACGCTCCCCGCCCAGAAGGGGTGGAGTCTCAGGTAGAAGGGGCAGGGTGGGGCAGCCAGCCATGGCATGCCCCCCCTCACCATTGGTTCTTAGGGTTACCAGGTGTCCGGGATTCAATCGGACAGTCTGTTTTTTGCGCCCTCTGTCCAGTAAAAAAATTCAGAAAAAAAGCAGACATGTGCAATGTCCGGTATTTTCTGCTTTTCTGGCTGGGCACCTGACGGAAGCCTGGCGGGGGGGCGGGGGAGTGGCTGAGGAGGCGGGGCCACAAACGGCGCGGGGAGCCTTCAGCTCAGCTGGTTGCATGCGGAAGCCTGGCGGGGGGAGTGGGTAAGGGAGCGAAGAGGCGTTCGGCGCTGGGAGATTGATGTAGCCAAAATATATGATGCAAACTGTTGATTGCTTATAATAAAGTTCCTATTCAAGTGTTAAGCTTAGTGGGGAGGGGGGTTGTGGTTTTTTTTTTTTGCTTGACAAATTTTTAGCACGTGTGTTTGGTATTTTGGGGGAAATCATTGGACAACCCTATTGGTGCTCACTAGAGAGCACCCTGCCGTGCCCCCACCTCTCCAGGCAGCCCTAAATGTAAAATCTGAAAGAAAACAAAACAAAGACAAAGAACCTTCAGCTGAAAAACCAGCCCAGAAGGTCAGAGCTTCAAAGGGCCTTGGGCTCTTGGTGCCACTACTACCACAGTAGTCGGGGTGACCACTGGGAGTTACAGGCCTTTTCGAATCACCAGGCTCCAGGGTAACGGCTCCTCTTACCTCCATGCATCCATGGGCCTGTCCAAATCTGAATGTCCCACTGCTCTGGGACATGCTCCCTGGCAACATAAACTATATATAGCAAAGTGGAGGCAACCCAGAGTCCCCTGTGCCCCACTTGCAGTGTGAGCTGCGTTCTCCACCCTTGCTGCCCCCACCAGCAGATGCCCCCTTCCCTCGGGGCAGTAGCAAATAAGGGCGCACACGAAACGTATCCCTGCAGCCAGGGTGTTTCTGCTTGCAGGGGGCCCTCTGCATTCTTGCCTCCTGTGCCGCACGTTGGGGGCGGGAGCCCTCAGAGCAGTGGGTCTTGGTGCGAACACCCCAACGCCTCACACCTCTAGGCTCAGGAGACCTTTCTGAGGATGGTTTCCTTCGGGCCACGTTCTCAGCATTTCCTTTGCCATGACGAGAGCTCAGAACAGAGGCTTTTAAATGGGGTTCGGAAGTCATTAAATGATGCCAGAGGCCTACGGAGCCTGTGCCTTAACCCCGCCCTGGGATGAGGGCCGACAAAGCTAGGGGAGCTAGAGAAACACCAACGCCATGTTCTCAGCACTGAGGCCGTTGGTGTCAGCCTGGTAAACTGGCCGAAATTATTCAGCCATTTTGGGAAAACTGATTTTTTCCCCCCTTCCCTGGTCCCACCCCCATTTTGAATGTGTAGTTTTCTTTTCTCAGGGTGAATCCTGACCCTAGCACCTGGCTCTCACAGCCAGGACAGGCGTTTGAGAGTTTAACCAGGGGCCTGACCCTGTGGCTGAAGCTGCAGGGCAGGAACTGCTTTAGCCTAATGACGAAGCAGATCTTTAATCAGTAGGTCTTCATCTGACCCTTCAGTGCTGAGGGAGGGATGGAAATATCTGCGCAGCAGATGGAGTCCAGCCTATCTCTTATGCGCTGTTTTGCCCAGGGCTGGATTCTGTAACAAGTGTGTGATTCACCACACTTAGCCCTCCTAGTGTGCTTAGGGACTCCCCCAGTTCTTCTAACAATGGGTCTTTTGTAGCCAAAGAGGAGTAGGAGGGATTTGCCCAGCACTGAATAAAGTCAATAAAGAGTCGCATGTGTAAAGCTACAGCATTTGGGTGCCTCAAGATGCCAATACTCTGCAATTTTCCTATGGCTCCAAAGGCAATAATTGCAGAATTACCCCTGACCACGCTATGCACCAAACGGGATTTTTAAAGGCGTTAAGGGCCTAAGCAAATTTGAAAATCCCGCAAGGTGCCAATCTGCACCTATAGGCCTCTTGAGGAATGTTGACCTAAAAGTGTTGGTTTTGGTCTATGCCTTGATAAGCTAAAGCAGTGGTTCTGAAAGTGTTCCATTGGCTCGCTCTGGGAAAGCCGCTAGTGGGCCCATGCTGCTTTGTTTACCTAAAGGCCCCATCGCCACGGAGCCTCGCAGCTCCCATTAGCTGGAAACGGTGAACTGGTAGCTACAGACCCTGTAGGTCAACAAAGCAGTGCAGGCCTGCTAGCGGCTCTCCCAAAGCAGGCCCCCGGAACGCTGTGAGAAACAGAGTGCTAAAGATTTGCCTTCTTTGTCCCCATTAGACAAATACGATAGGAAATATCACCCTTTGTTCTGCTTCAAGCCATCATACTGGTGCCAAAGCAGGAGAAGTTCAGTGGGGGAGAGACCTGAAATGGAAGAAAACCATGAATGTATCTTCAATGACAGTATGGAGACAGTGCCCCCTGCATTGGATGGGAAAGAAGCCATCAGGTAAGAAACTACAGCGTATAAGAAGTAATCTGTGGGAAGGGGTAATTTATTGTATTGGAGGATTACCACCGAGACACCTGCAGCTCTTGCTATGCCCGATGCTCCAAGATCAGTTTTGCTTTACTTCAACCTACTTAGCTTCCCCAGACATGGGATGTTGGTAAGAATCCATTCTTCCACAAAGGCTGTGTCTAGACTACATGCCTCTGTCGGCAGAGGCATGTAGATTAGGGTTGTAGGCAAAGGTAAATGAAGCCGCGATTTAAATGATCGCGGCTTCATTTACATTTACATGGCTGCCGCGCTGAGCCGACAAACAGCTGATCATTTAAATCGCGGCTTCATTTACCTTTGCTGAATAAACAAATCTACGACAGAGGCATGTAGTGTAGACGTACCCTGAGTGATCTCAAAGAGCTTCATAGAGAGGGATCACTCACCTACCACTGAAAAGCAGCCAGGAGTGGCTTGCTTGTAGCTGAGCCGACAAACAGCTGACCAGCTGTTTGTCGGCTCAGCACAGCAGCCATGTAAATGTAAATGAAGCCGCGATCATTTAAATAGCGGCTTCATTTACCTTTGCTGAATAAACAAATCTACATGCCTCTGCCGACAGAGGCATGTAGTGTAGACGTACCCTTTAAAGAGTGTAGAGTTAGGTCACACGCTGTTACAATGCAGAGGAGATTAGGAACCAAATCAGGCCACTCATACATGAATTGAGCCAACTTGTGGATTGGTTTTGTGATGCTAATTTTGTCCATAAATAACTATGGTAAGGAGAAACTCACCGCAGCCTAGTTCAGATTTGACTTCAAAGGTGAAAGGACAATCTGATGGAACACATTCAACCTCTATACATGAAGGGACTGATCTTCCACACTATGTAGACATGGACACTGCTACCAGACCAGGAATGCGCTACTTTGCATAGGGATAAGTGACCAGAGAGGCAGTATGAGCTAGTGGAGGGAGCACTGGGCTGTGGGACTCCAAAGATCTGACTTCTAATCTCAGTGCTGTTGTTTGTCGACTGAGCTTATGCCTCCCTGTGCCTCCATTTCCCCATCTGTACAATGGGGATAATGTTACTGACCTTGGTAATACACTTTGAGATCTCCTGATGCAAAACATCATATATGAGCAAGGTGGTATTATTTTATTAAGCTGCAAGGCAATGGTGAGTCAGTTCCCTAAGGCTGTGTCTAGACTGGCAAGTTTTTCCGGAAAATCAGCCGCTTTTCTGGAAAAACTTGCCAGCTGTCTACACTGGCCTCTTGAATTTCCGGAAAAGCACTAACGATCTCATGTAAGATTGTCAGTGCTTTCCCGGAAATACTATGCTGCTCCCGTTCGGGCAAAAATCTTTTTCCGAAAGACTTTTGCGCAAAAGGGCCAGTGTAGGCAGCACAGTACTGTTTTCCACAAAAAAGCCCCGATCGCGAAAATGGCGATTGGGGCTTTTTTGCGGAAAAGCGCGTCTAGTTGGGTAAACACTTAGGCTACATCTAGACTGGCATGATTTTCCGAAAATGCTTTTAACGGAAAACGTTTCCGTTAAAAGCATTTTCGGAAAATCATGCCAGTCTAGATGTAGCCTAAGTGTTTACCCAATATTTGGAATCCAAGTGCTAACGATAACTTGCTTACTCTTTAGGCTCAACAATATTAAAAAAACATATAAAACAAAGGACAAGGAAATAGAAGCTTTGAAAGGTATGAAAAGTTTCTTTAATCTTTTCGTTTGGATTTTAACTAAAAATGAACCCAATCAAATCTGAAGTTGTAGGCTGCTCTTTTCTTATTCTGAGAAGATATAGTCATTCTGCTCATTCATAGTTTAAATGGCTTATAAAAATGTAAGTCTTAGGGACATTGCAAATGTCTTCGCAACATTTCACCCCTGTTAAATAAGAAACAAAAATAATAGCCGTAAAAAAATTTTGAAATCAAAAGGTGGAAGAAGTAAGGAAGCAAAATTTTATATCCACCATGACTGCTTGAAAGACTATCCAAAAACCTAATTCATGCAACTGCTGATTATCATGTCACTATATTTCTGTCATTACTAAGAATAGAGAGGAATGACCACTGTAGAAGTACAGTAAAGCAATTTAAGACATTTTAAAATGTTATTACATCAGTTCCTCTTTACCCCTTGTAACCTCTCTACTAATGTAATGAAAAACTTTTTGCAAGTCTAAAGATGGTTACTGAAGATATAACACACATTATGGGTTATGTGTTTTTGACTTTGCTTATCTCTGCTTAGATAGAAGCCATATTTCTTTAATTATCATGTTTCACACCTGGATGGGCCCATAGAGAGGAACAGGTCGGATTTAATTCACTCCACTACTTGAATCCTAACATAATTCTTTTTTTTATATTAGGTTTGTTCTTAAATATTTATGAAGGCCAGATCACTGCCTTGCTTGGTCATAGCGGAGCTGGAAAAACAACATTACTGAACATCCTGAGTGGACTTTCCCAGCCTTCTTATGGTACGTCGGTACATTTCTAAACTGAAAGAAAGAACATGTTTGATAGCAAGTGTGCTTGGGTGAAAGAACAAAGAACTCGTTATCAATTTTCCTTTGTTCATGTGCTCAGGTTCTGCAACTATATACAAATACAAGTTATCAGACCTGAGGGATATGGAGGAAGCTAGAGCATTATTAGGGGTCTGTCCACAATTCAACGTTCAGTTTGAAACTTTAACGTTGAAAGAAAACTTGCGCGTTTTTGCTGAAATCAAAGGGATCCGCGCCACTGAGGTAGAGTACGAGGTAAGTGCGGGATCTCTGGAAGAACGTCTACTTTCACCACCTCACGTCATTTTTCTCACGCCGTTTGTGTTGTAGCCAATGTGTTTGAGAAGTTGACCTTGAGCATCCATGGAGGATCCTCTGTAGACGTAAATTCAGTCTCCACTGACAGAGGATCTAGCCCGTTATACACAAGAAAATCTATGAAAATGGGAGGATCTGCAAAACCCCAGGCAGACGAGACCATACTCAATATTGTTTGTTTCACAATCGCTTCTAGCAGCCCTAGTGATGGACAGGGTCCCACTGCACTAGGAGCTGTACAAACAGCAAACCAATGGCCCTGTTCCAAAGAGGCATAGCCAGATTTTTAAAGGGATTTAGGCACCATCAGATGCAGGTAGGTGCTTGGGTGCTTTTGACAATCCCAATGGGGCCTGTTTGCTTTTTCTGAGGCATAGGCAGTGAGTGAAGGCCTAGCTTGGGGAAAGCAAGCCCCAGCCCCTCTGCTTCCATGCCCCCCAAAGCCCAGCCCAGCCCCCATTGTGGTCTCTGGTCCCCCGCCCTGCACTCCAATCCCCTCCATTATGGCTGCTTCCTCCCACTCCCACCCAAAGCTAGGAGATTCCCCCAGAAGCAGGCAGATGCACAACATTAGCTGCCCCCCGGTGCAACGGAACTCCAGGCAGCCCTAGCTTTCCCCTGCCTTGGGAGCAGCTGGGCAGTACCCACAGCCCCAACGCCGGGTGACTGGGCAGCCCAGGCCCAGTTCCAACCCCGGACCCAGGAGCAACTGCGCAGCCATGTAGCCCCAGTCTTCGCATCTGTCCAGAGCATAGTGGATGGGGCTCCCCTGGTCTTCTGTGCAAGGCAATACCTACCCTTGAGTCTATGAGCCATCCCCCATGTCCGGAGGGTACATCGACATGGCAAAAAATACCGGTGGCAGCAAGTCTCGGAGCCCTGGTCAAAAGAGCAGCGCCAACACTCAGGCTCAAGATGGAGCTTGGGTTTCAAGATCCTCCCTTCTCATCGAGCGCCAGCCCCTAGGCACCAGGATAGCCCAAATGCCTCCACGCTTATTTTTAACCCCACAGCACAAGCCTAAGTCAGGGGACCAAGGCACTGCACTGGCTGCACAAGGCTTGTTTTGCATTGCAGATGTTCCCTAAACATCTGTGTACCCTTTATAGCGTTCCCACACCAGCGAGGCAACCTCCCCCCCCCTTTTTTTTTACTGCACTCCATGGTGGCACCCTGGTAGCGATCGAGAGCGTAGAGATTATTTCCAATGACAGCTGAGCTATCCCTCTGCTTCTGGGTGGGTCGATAGCTGTGAAAGAGGCAGGGTTTAATTCCGAGGGCATGTTCTCTTGTATGACATCTGAACCCACCTGGTCTCTGCAGCAGGAGTGGAACTGTAGGCTTCAGGGGTGATCTAGTTGAATGTGACAGCTGGATCTTGTGAATACAAACCTGGCCCGGCTGCTATTAGACAAACACAGGTCTCTCGGCATGTAGTGCTGGCTTGTGTGCTGGCTTCAACAAGAGCTTACTACACGTCTTCTTGCTCCTGCTGCATCACTGTTGTCTAACAGATTACTGAGCAGTGCCGCCTGAGAGGCACACGTGGTTAAATCAGATGAAGTTCAGTAAGGACAAATGCAAAGTACTCCACTTAAAGAGGAACAATCCATTTCACACCTATGGAAAGGTCAGTGACTGTCTAGGAAGGAGTCCTGCAGAAAGGGATCTAGGGGTCATAGTGGCCCACAAGCTACATATAAGTCAACAGTGTGACACTGTTGCAAAAAAAGGCAAACATGATTCTTGGACTCAGAGGGGTAGCCAGTTAGTCTGTAACTGGAAAAACTTAAAAAACAACAAACAGTCTAGTAGCACCTTAAAGACTTTAAGGTGCAGCTACACTATTCGTTGTTTTTTAAGTTTTTCCATGATTTTACTAGGCATTTAACAGAAGTGTTGGGAGCAAGACACGAGAGGTCATTTTTCCACTCTACTCTGCACTGATTAGGCCTCAACTGGAGTATTGTGACCAGTTCTGGGCACCGCGTTTCAAGAAAGATGTGGAAAAATTGGAGAGAGTCCACAGAAGAGCAACAAAAATGATTAAAGATCTAAAAAAACATGACCTCTGAGGGAAGACTGAAAGAACTGGATTTGTTTAGTTTGGAAAAGAGAAGACTGAGAGGGGACATGATAGCAGTTTTTAAATACCTAAAAGGGTATTATGGGGAGGAAGGAGAAAAATTTTTCTCTTTGGTCTCTGATGATAGGACAAGAAGCAATGGGCTTAAATTGCACCAAGGTAAGTTTAGGTTGGACATTAGGAAAACTTCCTAACTGTCAGGATGGTTAAACACTGGAATAAACTGCCTAGGGAAGCTGTAGAATCTCCATCATGGGAGATATTTAAGAGCAGGTTAACTAAACATCTATATAGGACAGTCTAGGTGATGCTTTGTCCTGCTGTGAAGGCAGGGTCTTGATGACCTCTCAAGATCCCTTCTAGTTCTAGTATTCTATGATTCTATGCTTTATTTTTCTATCATTTTCCAGGTGCAGAAAGTTTTGAAACTCTTGGATATTATCAACATTCAAGACACGCAAGCTAATAAACTAAGTGGTGGACAAAAAAGAAAGCTGTCTCTTGGGATAGCCATATTAGGAGATCCACAGGTAAAAAAGAATGGTCATACACATCGCGTGCACGTATTGAATATGTATTTGAAAACTCAGTCACTGAACCTGCAAAAACTTGAACACATACTTTTTAAGAATTTGAAGTGGATTAGTCAAACCATATTCAATCTCTGTGTGGATGCTGTCATTCAAAATTTAATTGGCTTTAATTCAGTTTAGTTTACTTCCGAAGTGATTTAAAGCCACTTTAATTCTGAGTAACATGGACTACACAGGCATTTAACGTAATTTAACAAAGCCACTTCAAATCTGTATGTTTAGTTAATTCATCTTAACTTTCCTTAATGTCCCCATGAAAACAAGACTGTGGCGTTGCATTCTGCTTTTAACATCCTCTGAAAAGAAAACTAAGGGCATTTCTACACTTGCACCCTCTTTCTAGAGAGGGATGCAAATGAAGACATTCAAAATTGCAAATGAAGCCGGGATTTAAATATCCCGCGCTTCACTTGCATATTTGCAGATTGGCGCTATTTCAAACTAACATACGCTGTTAAGACATGGTTATTTCAAGAGAAAACTGTTCTCGAGAAATAACTGGTGAACCTCATTGTATGAGGAATAAGGGTTATTTCGAGAGAAGGGTTTTCTCTCGAAATAATGTGTCTACACAGCGTGATTTATTTTGAAATAGCGCTATTTCAAAATAGCGCCAGTCCACGAATATGCAAATAAAGTGCGGGATATTTAAATCCTGACTTCATTTGCAGTTTCAAATGTCTTCATTTGCTTCCCTCTCTTGAAAAAGGGTGCAAGTTCAGACATACCCTAAGAGGTTAAAACCGCTCATCTGTACATGTACCAAAAAGTATTCCTTATAACTGGGTCTGAATGCAATATTACCAGCTCTCGGGGTTTGGCAATCCTCAGTTAGGTCCCCAAACCCAAGAATTTAATGTAAAAATCATGAGATTAAATAAAATGGAGGGGTTCTGTTTATTTACTTGCTGGTTTGGGGGGCAGTCAGGTGCACTCTGGTCATGTTTTCCTGCATTCCTGTTGACAGGTTTTGTTATTAGATGAGCCAACTGCTGGATTGGATCCCCGTTCCAGACACTATGTGTGGAACCTACTGAAAGAACGTAGAGCTGGTCGAGTGACATTGTTCAGTACTCAGTTCATGGATGAAGCTGATATCCTTGCTGGTGAGACCAGATCATCTCATTAGATAAGAAGACTTGACAAGTAGATGGAATAAGATTTTATTAGCTGAATTTTCTTGTAGAATGGACCTTGCTCTGGCTCACTTCCTAGGATGAACTCGTGATACCGTTAAATCAATGGCAAAATTTCCATTGCCTTTAGTGGTACCAGGATTTCATCCTCATTGTCTTTAATAGAAGTTTTGACTCACTAAGAACTGTAAGACTGGCCCTCCCAGGAGAAGAAAAACTAACTGAACTACATGGAAGCAATTCAGGACTCTGCTTCACTGATAAGTTCCATCATCATATTGCTCCTTCTCTTGCAAGAGTTTCCCCACGTTTTTCATGTACCCTCTCTGCCTTAATTCCTCTTTAAAAAAACCCCTTTCTACTAGTAAATTATTCACTTCATTTCTAACCTCCGCATGCCCATTTTTTTCTTGAATTATCATTCCGTCTTGTAATTAGTTATTAAACCAGCATTCTATTAGAAGTTGCACTTTAGGTTTTTAATGTTATAAATGACTAAAGAAGAATTCATTCTAGCAAGATCCATTATATAAATTATTTTATTTTTCTCTCTCCTTAGACCGGAAAGCATTTATCTCACATGGGAGAATTAAGTGTGTTGGATCGTCTCTGTTTTTGAAGAAAAAATGGGGGATTGGTTATCACTTAAGGTATTTTATTTATAACTGTTCCTCGTATTGCTAAGTTTGTATCCCAGACTTTATTTGATTCCTAGCAAGTAACGACTCTACTTCTTAATATAGATTAAATGAAATGAGTATAAAAGGAGTGCAAATAAGTATAAAAACTTCACATGCATTGAGGAGACTATATCAATCTATTTCCCCAACTTGGCACATGCAATATCTGTGGTTCAAGTGATGAAAATAAATATATTTTTGCAGTTAATTTTATTTTTAAGGGACTACGATCTGAGATCACCTCTCATCTGATGTGATGCCTCAGGTGTTCAGACGCAGTTTACGGCTGATTATTTTCTCTCTCTTTATTGTGCTGAATTTCTCGAACCCTAGTAATGAAAGGTTCCATGAAGCGAATAAGATTCAGTTCTTCATGTTCAGCAGCTGTTGTCTTAGAAGACGCTCCATCCTAAAAGCCATCTTTCTTTTGGACCTCATCCTCAGATTCTGGGCATCTTTTTTGTAAGGTGCTCAGCACCTTCAACACTTTTCAGTAGACACTGAGTTTACTAAGCACCTTGCAGGATTGGGCCTGATACAGGATTGCTGATGGGAGGGGGCAACTGCCTCGGGGCCCAGCAATTCAAAAGGACCTGGGGCTCATGGCTGCCTTTGCTGTTTATGCAGCAGCAGCTGCTGCCAGACCCTGGACCCTTTAAATCACTGCTAGAGCCCTGTGTGATGCACTTCTGGCTGCCTGGGGTAGGCACAGCACACTCCAGATGGTATGAGGACTACCTGAGTGAGGCTAGCCCCGCCCCTTCCAGTCCAGCTCCGCCCCTTCCACTCCAACACCACCCCTTCCAGAACACAGAGCCAGCCCCCTGCCTTGACTTGCCCAGGGGCCCAGCTAGTCTGTCCGCCCCAATGGCCCTTTGTAAGCCTTTTATTTTTTTGGCCAAACATTTCCTGTAGATAAAATCAGTTAAATTCCTAACCACTTGTTTTAGAAGCATCGGGGGCAGCCGAGTGAATCTGTACAGGATAAACTTAAAAAACAACAAATGGCCTGGTAGTACTTTATAGACTAGCAATACAGGTAGATGGTATCACGAGCTTTTGTGGGCACAGCCCACTTCTTCAGATGACCGGAGTTTTGAGTTTAGGATGTGCAGACCCAAAATAAATAAGGGGAAGGGGGAAAAAAGGAAGGGAATGGGAAACAAGGAGCAGAGGGTATGAAAATATCAATGGGAAAAACAAGTAGGCAGAGCTGGTAGTCTATAAGCACCTAAAGATTGGATAGTTAAAAGAAGCAGACAAGGATCATAGGATAGCAATTAGATAGGAAGGGTACTAACGCAAGAATCTACTCAGAAAAAGAGCCGTTGGCACCTTGTTTTAGTACATTAGCAAATCCATGAGGTTGGTACAAACAAGGAGTTGGTAACAAATTCCTCAGTCCTTACTTAGACAAACTTTCCATTGAAGTTTTGTCCAAATAAGATCTGCTGCAGGGATTGAATGTTGTTCCAGAATAAAGACAATGGGAGCTGGCTTTCTTGGTATGTGACATCATAATGAAAACCACATTGTTCCTGTTAAAATGCAAGTGTTTGCCTTTTTAATATGCACAGGATGCATGTCAATGAGGGTTGTGACTCCGGGAGCATGATATCCCTGATCAGACAATACATTCCTGAGGCCACGTTCACCGGGCAGAGTGAAAATGAACTGAGTTATGCACTGCCCTTAGAAAATGTGGATAAATTTCCAGGTAATTGTATATTTATGTAATCCAGAATCCACCATGCATGCAACTATTTCTCTTTTTTCGATGAATGTTGAGATAAATTGTATCCGATGCTTAAATTCCACCAGGAATGTAACCTACAGATGTGGAACTACTGCATAAGGATTTTTTTCCCCAGGATTTTAGTCGTTGTATTTATTTAAGATCCAAATATGTGGTCGTCTTCCATTCATGATGAAGTACATTCAGATATTGAACTTGGGGTGTTTTTTTTCTGCCAAAAGCAGGGTGGTGATGAAGGAGACTGAAAGGAGACTGAAGGTAAAACACTGGGTTCAAACATAAACTTTAGTTTCAGTTTAGTTGCTTTAATTTAGATTTTTTTCTTAGAGTCTGCAAAGGGTCAAAATTTAGAGTACATGCTTCTTCATAAGAGTTCTACTATTAAAATATGTGTTTCCAACTGGACTGGAAATTCTGTAAATGTAGTCTTACTCATCGCATTTTGTCATGTTCAGATCCAGCTGTACCCAGCGCCTAAACATGCACAAAAGGTTGAAAGTTGAAAAATAATGGTAGGTTGGTTAAACAAACAAATGATGTGAATGTTAGAAAATAATGAAAATTACCAGATAGTGGGCCCATGAATCAGCTGTCTAAATCTTGCTAGGTTGTTTGTAAACATCCAGGTAGCTAAGAGCCCTAAGAAAGAGGACAGTGAGTTGCTTTCACAGATAATTGCCAAGAATTTATCCCATGCAAAAAAAAGGAGCATGGAAGAATGTTCAAAGGTGTTTGAAATTTTTAAAAGTGGACAATCAACATTGGTACCTGCCAACTTTTTGACGGAGCAAAATTTAACTCTAGCCCAGCCCTGCTCGCTCCATCCCCCCTCCCTCCTTCATTGATTATCCCCCACACTTATGGGGCTGGGAAAGTCTAGGGATGGTCCCTTTTTGACAAGGTGCTCTGGTGAAAACTGGCAACCAAAGCACCTGGTATTTTTAGACTCATGAGCATGTGAGTTCCAATACAAATTCCGTTTTAAACTTTAAAAAAATCGGCAGCATTTTATCCCACACCAAAGACTGATTAAAATAGAGACCTGGAGATTTCTGTAAATTCATAGTTGTAATGGTTTCCCTAGGATTGGAAATCAGGGTTATATTCTGCTTTTAGGTGCACAAGCACATGCCAGGAGTTACCTAGGATTTACATTTGTATAGTAAGAGTACAATTTAGCGCAGACAAATTTTAATTTTCTTATGCCTTCAAGATGCGTGTGTTCCTTCTGTCACACAGATCTGTTCTGCGAGCTAGACAATCACTCTCGCCAGGGGATTGTTAATTATGGTGTTAGCATGACAACCCTGGAAGATGTCTTCCTGAAGCTGGAAGGTGAAGAAACAGTTGATCAAGAAGGTAAAACACTGGGTTCTAACATACAGTTTTCAGCCAGGGAAATTGTTCTTAAAATTAATCTTACATTATTTTTCTGCTAAGCATGAATCATTACCTTTTTGGTCATCTTCAGAGATAAATTGACTAGCTAAAATTGCTTTGAATAGTTAACTATATTTTTTTTAAAACAATTGGAAATCCAAACTTGTTAGAACACAGAAAGAGGTCTTTATTTTATTTCTGTCTTGCTATCAAATATTAAGTGGATGATGAGTTCTTGGAAAAGGGCAACAAAAATGGTTAGGGGTATGAACAGCTGTCATATGAGGAGAGACTAATCAGACTTGAACTTTTCAGCTTGGAAAAGGAGAGAGAAAAGGGAAGACTAGACTAAGGAGGAATATGATAGAGGTCTATAAAATCATGACTGTTGTGGAGAAAGTAAATAACACAAAGTAAACAACGTAATATTTGCACAAGTAAATAATATAACTAACACAAGAACTAGGGGTCACCAAATGAAATTAATAGGTAGTGGGTTATAAACAAACAAAAGGAAGTTTTTCTTCACACAATGCACAATCAACCTGTGGAACTCCTTGCCAGAGGATGTTGTGAAGGCCAGGACTTTAACAGGGTTCAAAAAAGAGCTAGATAACTTCATGGAGGATAGGTCTATCAATGGCTATTAGCCAGGATGGGCAGGAATGGTGTCCCTAGTCTCTGTTTATCAGACATTGGGAATGGTCAACAGTGGATGGATCTCTTGATGATTACCTGTTCTATTAATTCCCTCTGGGGGCACCTGGCATTAGCCACTATCTGAAGACAGAACACTGGGGTAGATGAATCTTGGGTCTGATCCAGTATTGCCGTTCTTATGGGCTTAGATATGTGCTTATATAATTATTTCACAAGCTACAACAACAAAGAGGCAGGCATTAAAATTTTAGGAACAGCTGTAACAGAGACTTCATTCTGTAACTTATTTTGCAAAGTCCTCCTGAATTGTCCAGGGAAAAATGTGTGCGAGTGTTCCAATTTTTATTTAAGAATGATAGATGGGAGGAGATTTCTTAAAACACAGAACCTTAAAAGCAGAGACAAAGCAAACATTTTCTACGACACAGAGGCACAACTTTTCAGCTTAATTTGCTCTAGTCTGGTTCTTTGCAGACTCCCTGCTGAGACGCCAGAATACACAGTTCTCTGCAGAGCCCTTGGCCAGCAAACTGAACCAAGAAATCCTTAGAATGTGAAGTGGTAACTTTGGATTCTCACAGAGATTTCAATATACATGGGATGGGAGTGGGGGTTCTGTTTTAAAGTGATTTCTGCTAAGGATGAAATCCCAAACCTGGGATTTTGTTTCAGTTCATAGAACAAAGGCCTGCATCACTCACTGTTTCTTTTTAAACTTCAGAAAATGGATTGATTGTTTTCTGCCTTTCACTCAAGAAAAGTTTATTCTTCTTATACTTCAATGTGTCTACATTGGCCCCTATTCCGTAGTAGGGATGCAAATGTAGCACTTTGGAATAGGCAAATCCGCAGGGGATTTAAATATCCCCCGCGGCATTTGCATTAACATGGCTGCCGCTTTTTTCCGGCTTGTAGATAAGCCTGAGAAAAGCCCCAGCCTGGATGCGATCCTCCGGAAAATAAGCTCTTTTCCGGAGGATCTCTTATTCCTACTTGAAAGTGAAGGCCAGGACTTGAAAATAGGAATAAGAGATCCTCCAGAAAAGAGCTTATTTCAATCTAATTTCAAAAGAACACGGTTGCAGTCTAGACGCAGGTGAAGTTTTTTCGAAAAAACCCCTGAGTCTGGACACAGCCTGATTGTTCATTCCTAAGTGGAGCACTTTTCATTTGTCCTTATTGAACTTCATCCTGTTTACCTCAGACCATTTCTCCAATTTGTCCAGATCATTTTGAATTATGACCCTGTCCTCCAAAGCAGAATATATCTGAGGTGTGATGTGTGACTGCTGGAAGGGATTTGCTTCAAGTTGGGGGCTGTCTGTAGGCGAGGGTTGGCCTGTCTCCCAAGGCCTGTGAGAGTGAGGGATCGTGTTCCAACATAGGTTGTAGGTTATCAATGGCGTGCTGGCGGGATTTAAGCTAAATGGGTGATACCATAGTCTGCTTTTCTTACATATAAAAAAAACCTTTCCAAGGGGTTACATTGAACTCTGAACTTTGAAAACTCTTTGTAGATTATGGTGTCTTCAGCGAGGAGCAGGCAGAAGAGGAAAGAGACTCCTTTCCCGCTGATGAAATGGAACAGGGTCTCCTGTCTCTCTCAGACATAGGAAAGGCGACTGTAAGTGGCATCGCCCTCTGGAGACAACAAGTCTGTGCCGTGGCAAGAATTCGCTTTTTAAAGCTAAAGCATGAGTATAAAGCCCTTCGGTCCATGTAAGTGCCAGCATTTCTGACTGGTTTAGGTGACTCTATTCCTAGCACAGCTGTCTGTGCCATGGGCTGGGATGGAAATAATTCACTCACAAAGGTGTTGGTTCCTAAATCCCATGATTTCTCTGAAGGATTTGTGACCTCACACACTGACCTGGCAGTGTTGTGGGAAAGTCCTGCCTTGCCAAAGCTACACCAAATTGTGCATCCCCTTCCCATTATTAATTCACCAGAAGATTTATCTAGCATTGCCGGTCCTTAATTCTATTAATTCTTATTTGCCTTCATTGAAATCCTTGCTCTGGGATGTGGCTGGGAAGATGCGGTTCAGGATGCAGGCTGCACTGGGTCGGGGGAGGAGAGTCTCAGCCCTCTCTCACTGTAGCAGCTTGGGGCTAGGTGAGAAGCGCCTGTCCATGCCTGCTGCTGTTACAGCTGAGGGATAGAAAAAACTCTCTGAAATATATAGTCAATAGCTATTCCTTTCTCCACCCCACCCCCTGCTGGCCCAATAAGGTTATAGCTGTCCCAGTCCTCATCTCTGGCCCCTTGCTGCCCCCCTGTGGAGATTCTGCAGTATCATTCCCTTCAGCCAGACCCCTCCCTTTTCATTTTATAAGAAACAATCGAATTCCATGCACATCCCATTATCCTGGCACAACCAAGCCATGACCTCGCTTTGGTGTCCCTAGCTCTTACCATTCAGGAGGAGTTCTTGAACAGGCTCATGGATGGACAGACACATTTCTAAAATATAAGTAAGATTACCAGGAGTTTCTTGTTCTGCATGAGGTACACAATTCAATGATTGATATTATTATTGACACTGTTGGAAGCCCATGTTCTTTCTTTAGAAAATCATTTTGAAATCTCTTGATGGGAGGGACATCACAATGAAAAAAATCAAATTTTTCATTTTATCTTGGTATTTAAAAGAAAGAAAATGTCTAAAAATATTAATGTTTTTGTTTGTTTTTCATATATTTCCCTTTTCTATTAGTCAGTCACTGCAAGAATGAATTATGTCTGTTTGTTCTTTAGATTTTTTTTACTTTTTTCCTTTGTTTCTTCTAATCTCTCCATTTTCAAAATTTTTCCAGTGTTCCACTGTTTTAAGAAAGCTGTGAAAAGTCAGAATTTAAAACAAGAAAAAAGGAGAAAGAAGACCTAGATATTGATTCTATTGCATGTGATACTAAAAATGAGTGGGGGAGGGGGGGACAAGAAAAAAGGAAAAATCAAAATTTAGACTCTTTTGACTTTCAAAAAAGGAAACTAAATAAAATATTATAATTGTGTGTAGCTATGCCCTAGAAAAGTGGAAAAAATAAACAAAATTTCTCTGGAAAGAAAATTCTTTTCTATTAAGTTCTGTTTTCTAGCAGAAAATCTTATTGTAAAAAAAAATCAACTAATTCCTTGGTTATTACAATTAGATCTCATTAGAAGTGTCCATTGGCTCTCTAACCCTTCTTCTCCCGACCAAGCCAGGAGATCATCTTCCATCTGGTGTCTTCTGAGGATGGAATGGACCACTGGGGATATGCTTTTGTGCCTGGGGTTTGGGGGGGTCACAGGAATTTCAGATTTCTTCCCAACACTCCCTATAGGAGATGGCTGCTTCTAAGGTTCCGATTGCGGCGTATGCTGCTGCTGCTTTAGCAGTGGTGTTGACCTGGCATTAGATTAGTGTGTCTGTGTTTGGCTGGGTTTTTTTGCATACCACCATCATTTTCCTGAGCCATATACGCAATAGAATGGAAATTCTGATTTACAAAAGTTTATAACTCAGCCAAACCCGCATGCAATTTGGTGGGGGTCAAAGAAAAGGCACTTATCTACCCCTAGACTAGAGCTTTTTTCCTACCGAATTTTAAAGGCCTGGCATATGCAATGGAGGTGGGACAGCTTTTTAAAATAAAGTGGCAAGAATCCTGATTTCTTAAAACAAGGTATTAGTCAACCTAAATACGTGGGTTACTACCAGTGCCCCCGAGTAATAAGGCAACTAACAAAACATCTTGTTTCCAAACTCATTTGCGATCTGTTCTTCCATCTAGATTATTGCTGTGTGGATTTTTTATGATACCTATAGCTATCCAGTTTATCATGGTTGGCTTATGGGAGCATTTAAATTCTTGGGAGCTGTCACCTGGTCTGTACTTTTCTCCTGGACAGCAATCTCACAAGGAAGTCACGAGCCTCCTAGTCCTCAACAACACAGGTGAGGGGGGCAAAACGGCGCAGCAAGGTTGGGCTTTTTAGCCTTGCAGGGAAATTTGGCAAAGGGGAAAATCCCCCGGCAGAACAGGTGTCCTACAGGTTGGTCATCACACACAGCTACCTGGAGGTGGTGGGAAGAAGCTTCTGTTGGTGCTAAGGCTGAATGAGAAGCTGAGGTAGGATCTGAAGAAAAGAATGGCATTGTCAGCTCGCCTGGAAGGCTTTTGAGGTTTCATATTGTAATGACTGGATGAGGGCAGGATGTGTGTCTGGGTTACCTGAGAGAAAGATGTTGCAAGCAGGCCAACCCTACTGCAACAGAAATGAGCATTCAGAAATTCAGCTTAGAAAAGAGGAGACTAAGGGGAGATATTATAGAGGCCTATGGAATCATGACTGGTATGGAAAAAGTGAACAAGGAAAAGTTATTTACTAATTCCCATAATGAAAGAACTAGAGATCACCAAATGAAATTCATAGGCAGTGGGTTTAAAACAAACCAAAGGAAGTTTGTCTTCATTCAGCACACAGTCAACCTGTGGAACTCCTTGCCAGAGGATGCAGGGAAGGCAAGAACTTTAAAAGGCTTTAAAAAAGAGCTAGATAGATTCATGGAGGTTAGGTCCATCGATGGGTATTAGCCAGGATGGGTAGGAATGGTGTTCCTAGCCTCTGTTTGTCTGGAGGTGGGTGACAGGAGAGGGATTACCTGTTGTGATCCCTCCCTCTGGGGCATCTAGTGTTGGCCACTGTTGGCAGACAGGAATACTGGGTTAGATGGACTTTTGGTCTGACCCACTATGGCCGTTTTTATGAGGAAATCATGAGCCAGATCTCAAAAATTTATAAAACTAACCTAAAAATCATGGGGGTTTTTTTTGCTTAAAATATTATTAAATTATTTGCCTTTCAGGTCCATTGCTTAATCTTTCTAAGTTCTTCATGGCAAATGTGAGGGCTAGATTTTTTTTTAAAATTAAAGCTGAGTTGTTTACGCAGCCTGATTCTGGAGGCTGAGGCTAAAATAGCTACCAATATTGTGCAAGTAGCAATACAATTGTGAGAGGCGGCCGCCCATCTATTACAGTGTTTGAAGATATAACGAGCCCCTGAATGAGAGAGGACAGGGCTGGTGACCCACATTGCCGGGCCCTGAGTAGGGGGATCATATTTCCCTTTGTGCAATACAGGACACCAAGGGGGACCAGCACTTGGGGCTCTAGTGGAAAGTGGGGGGAAGCTGCTGATGCTCGGGCTTCAGCCCTGTGAGGGGCAGGGGGGAGAGGCGGGGATGAGCTGCGGGTGCTCAGGGCTTCTGCCCCAGGAATGGGGAGGGGAGCCACCACTGCTCAGGGCTTCATCCCCATAGTTATGGGGGGGGGGAAGAAGGGGGAAGCTGCCAGGATTCAGGGCTTCAGCCATGCAGGGGCGGGGGAGGATCCTCTAGCGCTCAGGGCTTCCATGGCTGAAGCACCGAGTGCCAGCAGCTCTCCGCCCATAGCATGCGGGGGGGGGGGGGGGGGGAATGGGAGCCGCTGGTGCTTGGGGCTTTAGCGTCTGAAGCCCTGAACAGCTCCTCCCCCAGCCCTGTGCAGGGGAAATATGGGACAATCTGCCAGGAGGAGGCTTTAAATAGGGGACCGTCCTGGTAAAAATGGGACGGATGGTCACCCTAGCCCTGGGCAATATGCGGGGGAGGACTCAGCCCCGAGTTCCCAGAAGGAGCAGGCCTCAGGCAGAAGAGGTGGGGCGAAGGGCAGCCTGCCCTCAGCGCAGCCCAAACCACACCACCCGAGGCTGTGGCGGGCTCAGGACGTCGGCTGCCTCTGTGGTTTTGAATTGCCGGGACGAGGGCAACAGCCCCCAGTGCCCCTCCCAAACAGGAGCAGAAAAATTGTAATAAAATCAGTCCCGTTGAGTTCATACACCATTTGTGTAACCATTCCCGGCCCATTTTTCATAATCGACACCACATTTTGGTGTCCCGAATTGACTCAATACTCCGCTGATTCTCTGCACATTTAATTAGTCGACTGACCTGATTCTCTTTTATTTCCGCTTTTTTACTACTTGTATTACTTTCTGCTGCCTTGCTATCATGCCTATGATACTTCTCTTTTACTACCTTGTCTATGTGTTCCCCCCCCCAACACCTTCTCTCCCATCAGTGCTTTATTTCTTCCTTCCCACTTCCTTACTTTCATTGCCACGGTGCTCACAAGCCCCCACTTTGTCTCAAACTCCCGGTGCCCCTTGGCTCCTTCCCCTCACAGCATAAGCACACTTTCCTCAGCCCACAAAACAACTATCTGTCTGTGGATCCTTCCTTTCCAGCTGCCATCCCATTTCATTCCTGCCCTCCATCCAAGGCACAGTCCACAGTTCATGCATTGACTCCTCCTCTAATTTATACCCCTTCCAATCTGTTTCTTCTCCCTCCCGCTCCACTTGGGCGCCTATTCAGCTTTCCCTTAACAAATCTCAGGGCTTCTTTTCCTCTCTCAGGGCTGACAATGGGCAGCAGGTGGGGACTTGGCCAAAGACCCTAGGAGAATTTTTATTGTTCAATAAGCTTCAAGACTTGTGATTTCTCTGCTGTTGCCTCCATACCAGGTTCAAGCATTCAGGACTTCATCCACTCTCTGGAGACTCAGAACATAATGTTGGAAATAGCAACAGGGAAAAATATCACTAAGAGGCTAATACATAATGGGGCTATACAAGTATCCTGGGAGAACCAGGTAGCGTGTCTCTTTTTTCCTTTAATAATAATAATGTGTGGATTGTGTGTCAATGAATAAGCACCTGATGAATTAAGAACAACAAGTGGCCCATTTGCATATGCTATTTTTTATATTTGCATAAGTCATTTGCGTATGTTCTTGCTCAAGAAAGTGCAATGTAGACGTAGCCTTCGAGTTTTTGTTTTCTCTTGCTTTTGATCAGAGCTACAGATTTACCGTTATGTGCAGCATAGAAACAATCAACTGCTTTCCAGTGCTTGTGAACATCATTAGCAATGCACTGCTGTGCACCCACAATTCCACTGCACACATTCGAATCTGGAATCATCCATTTTTTAATGTAAGTGGCTTCACGTCGTTGGCAGAAATGCATGGGAAAGAGGTTTCAAAGGGCTCGATATATGATCAAGGTTTTCTTTTAGTAGAAAGTGGTTTTGTTTTACCTTTTGATATGTATGGGTATATCTAGACTACATGGCTCTGTCGACGGAGCCATTTAGATGAGTTTACTAGACATAGGAAAATGTCTAGTAAATGTCTTCATTTACATAAAAATGGCCGCCGTACTGTGCCGATCAGCTGTTTGGCGGCACAGTGGGGCAGTCTGGACATGCCACGGTCAACAAAGGAAGCCTTTGTCGACCACTCCGGTACGCCTCGTGAAATGGAGTATTTCACGGTATGCCTCGTCGACGGAGCCATGTAGTCTAGACATACCCTATTGGTCCAAATTCATTACTAGTATAAACACTGGGCCTGTGTGTACCAGTGGCAACTTTGGCTAATAACTTTTTGCTGTAAATAAGCTAACCAACAAATTCTGCACCATAGCCAGTGAATAAGAACCTTTGGAGGCTCATTGGCCCTTCCTTGTCAAGTGTTATGTTCCACTTCCCTTCTGGCAGTCTCCCTTAATCATTGGGCCTCTGGTGTTGGATAAGTTAGGGGCAGGAAGAGGAGTATGGGACAGAAGAGGCTATGGAAGGGGGCATGAGTACATGGAGGACCCCTGGTAGCCTGTTGTTTCAGACATCCACCTGGGAGGTTGGTGAGCCAAGCTTAAATCCCTGTCCAACATCAGGCAGAAGGGGGAAATCAAATCAACTTTCCCATATCTCAAAGGAGTGCCACAATCACTGTACAAAAAGTGACTCCTTCTCATGTTCCTTCTCCAAGATTGTGTGATTCTAGACGTTTAAAAATGCCTGGGTGGGAGGGAAAAAAACCCATGCCAAGTGGAATGAAATGTGTCCTTCAACCTAAAACCAATTTGTTCGAAGTGTTTCCAAATTTTCAGATTTGATTTGAACCGAACCAATTTTATTTCCAAATATTGCTGAACTGCCAGCAAACAAACAAGAAAATCCCAAAGCTGTTTGCTCTGCTTGAGTTGTGATACCTAAACTAATACAATGCAAATGTTTTCTTCAGATTTATTGTTCCTTTTTTTTTCACCCACAGAGTCATCGTCCAGGAATGTGGAATTATTTTATTATGATCTATCTAATGACCGCGGTATTTTTAGTTCCTGGTTTCCCACCTCACTTAGCAATGAACAGCATACAAGATTATAAGGTAAAATAACTGGATTTTGGCAGACATTATGTCAGTGGAGGGAGAGAAACCAAAATACTGAAAGGTTTGGAAATGGACTATGATGAGAAACACCTCAAAGACCAAGACATGTTCAATCTAGAGAAATGAAGCAGAGAGCAGAGGCAGAGTGATAGCTATGCAGGGTTAATAAAAGAGAGATTAGATATGTCAAATTGCAATAAGAAGAAGAATTGGGGCAATGGAGTGAGTTTCAAATAAATGTTTTGGAACTGCCTTCAGAGAGAATAATCAGGGCTAGAAAAGACAGCATCTGATTAGTCAGGGATGATTTGTGGATAGCGAAATCCACCTTGACTCATTGCAGGTGGATGGGCTAGATAACTGGCTTTGGGATTGTCCAGGAAACATGACCTCTGAGAGAAGATTGAAAGAATTGGTTGTGTTTAGTCTCAAAAAGAAAAGATTGAGAGGGGACATGATAACAACTTTCAAGTATCTAAAAGTGTGTTACAAAGAGGAGGGAGATTTAATTATTCTCCTTAACCTCTGATGGTAGGACAAGAAGCAATGGGCTTAAATTACAAGAAGGGGAGTTTAGGTTGGACGTTAGGAAAAAAGCCATCGGGGCGGTTAAGTGTAATGCCAACAGGTAGAACCAAATGTGGGACATCTGGAGCTTAGTGCATGAGCTAGAAGCCAGCTGGCTATTAGCTAAGGTTATAGATCAAACTCATTATTTTCTCTGTAAGTGTTCTTGGTGTCACTAGATGGGATAGTGCACCACACCTAGAAGGTGTGTGGGTTACATAATCAGTGGAATAAATCACCTAGGGAGATTGTGGAATCTCCACTATTACAGATATTTAAGAGCAAGTTAGACAAACACCTGTCAGAGATCGTCTAGATGATGCTTGGTCCTGCCATGAGTGCAGGGGCCTGGACCTGATGACTTCTCAAGATCCCTTCCATTATTCTATTATTCTATTTGCTCCATATGAGAGTCATCCCTGGATTTGCTGGAATGAAGGTCCATGCTCCTATCAAGACTCTTTGTTCGGGATCTACCTTGTTAACATTTTTAGGCACTGGATAATGAAGAATAAAAACCAAAGCCTGGTAATCCAGGGTCCACCACTCAGTCATTTCCACTGCCATCGGGACAAGAAGCAAGGAGACAGTGAAAAGAAGCAGCTAACGAAGGAAAGAAGAAACAAACGGGGTGAGAGTGACAGCAACGGGTAAACTGAAGGTGGACACTGAAGAGAAGAAGAAAAAGAGGGTCAATAGCTAGAGAGAATGAGAAAGAGGAAAGGCCTAAGATAACTGAAAATACAGAGAGAGAAGAAATGGAGATTTGTTTGCACCTTTATTTCCCTAAACCAATTCTGACCATGAAGCTAACTATTTGGAAGGGCTGTCATTGTTCCTAAAAATGATAATAAGGCCTCTCTTTTTCCTTTCCTTTCCTAGCTAAAAGCTCGTTCCCTGTTGCGGATCTCCGGGCTCTTCCCTTCAGCCTACTGGTGTGGGCAGGCTCTGGTGGACATCCCCCTCTACTTGGTTCTCCTCTGCACCATCTTTGGAATTATCTCAACATTGAGTTCCAGAAATTGGATGGCTGCCAGTGGAGTTTTTGCCCTGGTAAATCGGGTTATTTTAGATCACGGAAAAATAATTCACCTGAGAAAGCAAGAGAGGCAGAAGATTTACCTCACTCTGTCCCCCGGGGAGGGGAGCGATCAAACCAGTCAACTCCTGGCTTCTGGGAGATCTTTTTTTTGGGGGGGGAGGGGCACTAAGCCACTGAAAAATCAGTCAGGGGGCACCTACAAGAGAGAAGCAAAAAAAGCCCCCAAGGAGGCAAAAAATCCCTCATAGTTGTGGGGCCCCCCCAACTGAGGGAAAAGACATGCCCCTTGATCTCCAGCCCCAAGGGGTGGGTGGCTCAGGACTTACCCCTGGGGCCATATTAACTCTTCTGGGGACCTGAGACCAATAGATTTTGAGCCCTCCCTCCCCCCCCCCCAGGCTCTGGAGTAGGACAAAAATAAGGAATTCCGTGTGTGGGAGGGAGCTGCTGGAGAGTGGGCAGCTGTGAGGGTCTGGGTAGGAGGGGGCAGGGGATGAGGGCACACATCTGGTGCAGGTCCTGGGGTGGGGACTCAGATGGCTCCACATGGCACCACCCCTGCTGCTCCCATTGGCCACGATTCCCCGCCAATGGGAGCAACAAGGCTGGAGCCTGCAAGTGAGCCCAGGAACAGAGCTTCCCAGCACTGCTGTGCTGAGCCACTTCCTCCCCTGTGCCAGGCAGAGCCATGGACCGCAGAGTTGCCATCCCTCGTTTAAATTGTAATTTGCCCTAGTTGGTTCTTCCAGTGTCTTCCCCCGTAGGTCAGGGCGAGGCACTGGGACTGTGTCTTGCTGGGCATCCCACTGCAAAGTTTAACATCTGAACCATAGCAAACCTTTTGCCATTTCTGCTGGTAAAAATTCTGAATCTGCCCAAGAGGCAAGACACAGATTTCTCACAGTGAAATGAGAGACCCTGTTTGTGAAAAGGTCCTTGTGTGTGTCCCCTTGCTCTCTCTATCACCCTGAGGGTACGTCTAGACTACAGGCTTTTGTCTACAGAAGTTTTGTCTACAGATACTGTCGACAAAGCTTCCGTCAACAAAGAGCATCTAGACTACATCCAGTTCTGTCAACAAAGCAAGCTGCTTTGTCAACATGACCGTGTAGATTCAAAGGACAGTATAGATGCAATAACGCCTTCTGTCGACAGAACTCTGTCGACAAAAGGTGTTATTCCTTGTAGAAGGAGGTTTACCGCTGTCGACAAAACTGCTGAGTTCTGTCGACGTTCTGTCGACAGAACTCAGCAGCAGTGCAGACACAGGTATAGTTTTGTTGACAAAAGTCCACTTTTGTCGACAAAACCCTGTAGTCTAGACACACCCTGAGTGAAAAAGAAAAAAATCAAGATGAGCTTAGAAGGTATTTACCAACAAGTCCCTAAGAGGTACGCGTGTTCCTAGAGCAGATACCTCTGGGAGTTGTAGTTAGCATTTCAATTTTGCTGTCCGGGAAAGGGCGCCTAATTCTGTTTTCGTTACACCAGAGTAAGCGTACTCTGATGTCAAGGATGAAACTCTGAAGACACCCAAGTCTGAGAGCCAGGGCTGCAAATGTAGCAGGGGAGAAGGGAGATACTGCCCCAAGGCCCAGCAATTTAAAGGAGCCCAGGGTGCCGGCCTGCTGCTAGTGCAGCAGCAGCAGTGGCTGGAACCTTGGGCCCTTTTAAAATGCTGGTGGTGGTCCATGCAGTGTGGTCCAAGCAGCACTGAGAACAGGCTACGATCGGCGTGGCGCTGTCCCAGTGGCATAAGGGGCTGGTTGTCCCTAGCCCTGCTCTCTCCACCTGAGGCCCCGCCCCTTCTGGGGATCTGGAACCATGTCTTCCCACCATTGTCTTGCTGAGAGCAGAACTGTATCCAGGACGACAGGTTTTTTCCCTAACAATAACCATCAAAGCAAGAACACCCCCCACATGTAAACAGTCACAGGTTGCTTCTTAAGTTGCCGCACAACCCACTGCTCAGAGGGTGCTATCGCATTCGTAGGCAATAACTCTTTGTGCTGTTTGACAGCAAAGATGGTCTAATGGGTGAGGGCCTTGGACTTGAAGATGAGAAACCTGCCCTGCCATGTATGTCCTTGTGATCTTGGGCAAGTCACTAAAAATTGCTCTGTGCCTCAGTGTCCCATCTGTACTCTGGAGATGAGTGCACTGCCCTGCATCAGCAGGGTGTGGTGAGGTTAAATACATTGCAGATCATGACGTGCTTTGAGTTCTGCTGATGAAAAGAGCTATAGAAGAGTTAGGTTTTATTCTTATTTCTTGCTCTATTTTCTCCTCTTCAGCACTTCATGTCAGAGTTTCCCCTTCTGTAAAATAGAGATAATAACTCTTAACCTCCTTATAGAAGTATTTTTCATTTAATTGGAGGGTTTTTATATCCCTTGATTTCAGTATTATTTGTATTTAAAGTGAATTAGAGTGCTGCAGATGGGTTTTATTTGTTCATAAATTTTTACTTATCCCTAATAAGAGTTTTCCTCTTTCTAGTTTGCTGGTATCATTAGCTATGGAGCGTCGATGATCCTGTTCGTTTATGTAATTGCTTTCGTATTTCGGAAGCGATGCAACAGCTGTGATTTTTGGTCTTTTATCCTCATAGTGGTAAGCAAATAGCTAGAATATGTACACTATGCTATAAAGTGTATGAAACTATTCTTCAGATTCTAAATCAACCACTGTCATGGCAACTTTCCCACTCTGGCACGATAAATGCAGAAGTGGGGGCCAGCAAAAATACCCCAAAACTTTATCTTTCCAGGCTTTGGTATAAAACTTCCCCCAAAAATCTTAACAACCTAGATTTTGAGAATAAAATCTCCGCTGCCACCACCCAAATATTGATACAAAAATCAGGGGAAAGATCTCGGGAAATCTCACCCCTAAAGTACAAACCAGGACACAACCATTAACCATTACCAGATTAATAAAAAGGAAAGAGAAAGAACTTTTATCATCACCACAATATTCCTGTTGCAAGCATAATGGCTAGATGGAAAAGTAACAAAATAATATACTTGTGGAGAAGAAATCTACCATGGGCCAGGAACTTAGTTACAAAGGAGAGCAGATCGCATTTCCCAAACCATAAAACAATAAAACGGATTTATCTAAACGTTATCCTACTTACAGACTGTGAAGAGTCTTAGAGGGAGACATGTCCCCTTCAATAGCTGGAGAGAAAACTTCCCAAACAAAGGAGGGAAAAATCCCAAAATTCCTTTGTCCCACTTTGAAATTCTTACCTGCATTCCTATTGGATGAATCCACCTGGTTAAGTAAGGGACATAGTTAACCCCTTAGTCCCCAGGCTGCTGACTAACCCTCATGATCTTGACAACCACTTTCCCCCAATCCATAAAACTTGTTGCCTGTCAAAAGAAAGCTCTCATGTTGGTTTGGCATGATAGAAATCATGCTGTGCTGTTACTTATTGCCTTATTACAGGGCTACTCAACATGCAGCACGCGGGCCACATGCAGCCTGTGGCCCGTTTGTTTGCCGCCCACGGTGCAGTTTAGGTTTATAGTGCGGTTTGGATTGATATGTGTTTTAGTAGTTAAATTCCTGGACTACTGAGAAGCCAAAACTAAAAAGTAGTCAATATAATGGTCTTCTGTTGAGATGCGTTTTAGTAGTTAAATTCCTGGACTGTCATTGCTCATTAAAAGTGCTGTCATATCGGGGGAAATCGGGTAACTGTTGCATTTTATTAATATCAGCTGAACTGACTTAAATGGGGCCTGTGTGTTGTGTTGTCTTGCCTTAATCTTTGTATTCATGCCGGTCAGCGTGAAAGAAGCTATTTGCATATATTTGCATGTATATTTGCACCTGGCATCTTAAATTAGCTAATATACCCCGGCACAGTTTGAAAGAAAAGTCTTGTATACCCTGCGGGTTATACTCGTGCGCGGGGTATACAAGAGTTTTTTTACTCAATTCGGAAAAACCACAGGGTATATTCGGGTATGGGGTATACTCAGGTGCAGGGTATATTCGCTAAAATATGGTAGTCCTGCCTTATTATCTTCTACATGTTTACAAATGGATTCCTCCTGATCTGTCTCTAATCCCCCACCAGGTTGTCCTTATTTTCCTTTTTATGGATGGGCACTATATTTGCCCATGTCCAGTCTTCTGGAATCTCTCCCATCTGCCGTGCCTTTTCAAAGAGAATTGCTCATGGCTCAGATATCTCCTCAATGACTTCCTTGAGAATCTTCTTGTAATTAAAAATAAATGTGCAACCTTCATGGTTATGAAGAAAAGATTGAAAAGTGACACCCCCCCAAAAGAAAATCCCTCACATGCAAATAAGAAGAATTCAACTTTAAAAAATTATTTAAAAAAAATTTTTTTTGTGGGCCTGACTCACAATTTCGGAACACTTTGGATTGGCAGCCCTGCTTCTGACACTTAATAGGTATTGGAGGTAAAAACCAAGGAAGGCAGGTGAATGACAGAAATATGTCTTTCTTCCAAACACCCACTCCAACCCCTTGGCCTCATTTCCTTCCCATCAAACTTTCTCATATTTGTGTTTTGTGTTCAACATTCACCATCTAATAAGTAAGTTCTGTGGTATTCATCTTATAACCCAAAATGTAGTGTTATCCAATTCTTAGCAATAATGAACAAACATTACTTTTTTACTTAGTACTTTCTTGTTTCTTTTTAGACAGCTCTGGTGAGCACCATTATTAGTTTCATCACCATGGTGGTTATCTCAGAAAGCCTTTCCCATTACATCTTTTCCATTCTGATTCCTATGTATCCATTAATAGGCGTTGTGATCAAGTCTATGAAGGTAAACTCTTGTACTATGTCACGCAGAAACTAGTTGCATAACTGGCTTAAGTTTTTTAGAAAAGCAAACCGAACCTCGTGGCTTCTCTGTGGGAAATTGGCAGTAACACATTGAGGAGGGTCTTTTGGTTCCTCTAAGGAGTTGGATTTTCAAAGTTGCCTTGTGCAGTTCCCCTAGATCTCCCCAGAGGTGCTAAAATCCGTGCATCTGACCGAGCTATTAGAAGGGCCTGATGATACTTGTATTCAGGGGTGTAACTATTTCCTGTGTTGGTCCTTTGCCACTGAGGATTTTCAGTAAAATGACAAACAGGCCTGCTGATGGGGATGAGGGGCAAAAGGGGAGAATTGCCCTGCGCCTAGCCATTCAAAGGGACATGGGGCTCTGGCTGCCACTGTTACAGCACCAGATGACCATAGTTAGCTCCTAGGGCTGCCTGGGGGCATTGCACAATGACCTCCCAGGTGCACTGGGAGACAGCCACAATCCAGGGAGCACTCAGGGCCACCTTTCCTTGGCTCCGCCTCCTCCACCTGAGGCCACACCCCTTCCGGGAACATGGAACCATCCACCTTGTCAAGGGGGCTGATGTGGCTGTTGTCTCCCCTGACCAGAAATGTTCACGTAGTTCTGAAATATTTGCTGACCTGTATTTCACTCTTCTAAAACTACATTGCATTATATTCAAACTTTGCAGGATTTCTACTGAATGTATTTTTTTCCCTCCCACAGTTTTTTATGGAAGATGAGTATTTTATTGATTTTGGCCACTGGAGCGATATATTCATATCCATCTTTTCAGTAAGAAACCATTTGAATAGCATGCTGTTATTTTGCAGAGGACACATGTTCTGATGCAGTGATTCTGCATTGCATTTGTATTGGTTGCTGGCAGCTAGCAAAATAGAGTATGACATGTTTCACATCTGCTGGCCTGAGATGGAGAGTTTTCCATTGTAGCCTAATACTCATTGGCAGGAGAAGTTAGTCCATAAACCAAGAACTTGTCCGTTGCCTTACTAAAGACTGCTGGCCAGTTTGAGGCCTTCACCTATGAGAAAGTGGGAGAAGAATATCCGACTCATTCTATACAGAGTAGAACTTAGAATGAATTTACAGACTTGAAAGACTTCTGGCCAGCACCTGATTACACAGAAATAATAATGCTGCTTGTCTGAAACGGTAGGCAAAACAAAATTAGCCCTGGATCATGCAGTGAGTTCAGCCTTATCTTTTGCCATTGGGCTTATACATTAAAATAAGATTTTTCTCTCTCTATTAGTGCAATTTGTTGTCATTTATGCATTAGTTAATACAAATATGAACTCTTTATTCAATTTTGCATACTGTAAACTCCAGCAGCATTGATACAATTTATCCCTCAGGTCTTAAAGACTAATTCGCAATGATCAAGAAATAGTACTTCCATTTATTGCACTTTTCTTCATATGTTTTGCCCCATTATTACCACCAGTAGTGACCCAGGTAGAGATGCCAGTGATCACTAACATATTACTTCCATCTTATCTAGGCCTGCTCTGAATTGGGTTTCATGACTTGGAGGCTAAAACACTGGCAATTGACCTCTGCCATTTACCCATAGACTCATAGGCTGTGTCTAGACTGGCAAGTTTTTTCCGCAAAATCAAATGATTTTGCGGAAAAACTTGTCAGCTGTCTACACTGGCCGTTTGAATTTCCTCGAGAACACTGATGATCTCATGTAAGATCGTCAGTGTTCTTGCGAAAATACTGTGCTGCTCCCGTTCGAGCAAAAGCCCTCTTGCACAAATCATTTGCACAAGAGGGCCACTGTAAACAGCACAGTACTGTTTTCCGCAAAAAAGCTCCGATTGTGAAAATGGCGATCGGGGCTTTTTTGTCGAAAACCGTATCTAGATTGGCCACGGACGCTTTTCCGCAAAAAGTGCTTTTGCGGAAAAGCGTCCTGCCAATCTAGACGTGCTTTTTCCGAAAATGCTTTTAACGGAAAACTTTTCCGTTAAAAGCATTTCCGGAAAATCATGCCAGTGTAGACGTAGCCATGGACTCATAGACTTTAAGGTCAGAAGGGACCATTATGATCATCTAGTCTGACCCCCTGCACAGTGCAGGCCACAGAATCTCACCCACCCCTCTTAGAATAATCCTCTCACCTATACCTCAGATATTGAAGCCTTCAAATACTTTGAAGACCCCAAGATGCAGAGAATCCTCCAGCTGTGATCTGTATCCTATGCTACAGAGGAAGGCGAAAAACCTCCAGGGTTTCTACCACCATTGCTACCAGTAGTGGGACGCATTAGAGGGAAAAACCTAGGATACACACAACCGGATAATAGGGAAATAGCATTACAATATGGACAATTAATGTCAACGGTAGCCTTATAATTGAGGCACTGCCAGCCCACGAACCAGAGGGTACTATTTTGGCATTTATATATGAAATACATTAAGATTTAGAGATGGTCGAATACTCTGCAAGTGGGGCTAGAGATGATGGGTGGGTGCACAAAGGGGCTAAAGAGGTGAATCAGAGCAGGATGCCGGAGTGATCAGTATGAGATAAATACCCGTCTAGAGGAGATGAGACAGACACAGAGAGAGCTGAGTTAAACTCTTCTTTCATCCCTCATGTTAGAACCCTAATAAAATGATACTCATCCTTAAAGTGAACATCCCATTAAGTTAAATCTATGCCATCAAGAGCCAGCAATGCCCCTCTGCCATGTATATTGGTCAAACCAGACAGTCTCTATGGGTACGTCTAGACTACCGGGTTTTGTCGACAGAAGTTTTGTCGACAGTATCTGTCGACAAAACTTCTGTCGACAAAGAGCGTCCAGACAGATTGAGTTCTGTCGACAAAGCAAGCTGCTTTGTCGACAGAACCCTGTAGTCTAGACGCAACCCTACAGGCAATAACACCTTCTGTCGACAGAACTCTGTCGACAGAAGGTGTTATGCCTCGTAAAATGAGGTATACCAGCGTTGACAAAACTGCTGAGTTCTGTCGACGTTCTGTCGACAGAACTCAACGGTAGTGTAGACGCTGGTATAGTTTTGTCGACAAAAGTCCACTTTTGTCAACAAAACTCAGTAGTCTAGACACACCTTATGACAAAGGACAAGGCCGACTTTAGGAAGTGCAGGACCCAATTCGAACCATTTCGATGGGGTCCTGGCAGCCGGGATTTTTTTGTTGACCCCCAAAAAAAACCACACACAAATTTTGGTTGACCCCCGCCCCCCACCCAAAAAACCCCCCAGCACACCAACAAACAACTCACAGCCTTTAAATTCCCAGCTACAGGGCAGAGTCCCGCCTTCCAGCCAAACCCAGGGGCTGACACTCCCTCCCGCAGTGCACCCGGCACGTGAGCACACTTTCGGGTTTAGTGTGCGGGGCCCCTCTGACTTTAGGGCGCGGGGCCCTTTTAGGCATAGGACCCAATTCGGGGGAATCGGGCGAATCAGCCTAAAGCCGGCTCTTTCAAAAGGTACTTCGAAGCAAATCAGACATCAGAAATGGTAACACACATAAACTTGTAGGGGAACATTTTAATCTACCTAAGCGACAAGGAGTCCTGTAGCACCTTATAGACTAACAGATGTATTGGAGCATAAGCTTTCGTGGGCAAAGACCCACTTCGTCAGAAGCATGTAGTGGAAATATCCAGAGGCAGGTATAAATATGCAGGCCAGAATCAGGCTAGAGATAATGAGGTTAATTCAATCAGGGAGGATGAGGCCCACTTCCAGCAGCTGATCTGGAGGTGTGAATACCAAGAGAGAAGCTGCTTTTGTAATTAGGGAGCCATTCACAGTCTTTGTTTAATCCTGAGCTGATGGTGTCAAACTTGCAGAAGAACTGTAGCTCAGCAAGTATCAGACATGCATCTGAAGAGTGGGTGTTTGCCCACGAAAGCTTATGCTCCAATACATCTGTTAGTCTATAAGGTGCTACAGGACTCCTTGTTGCTTTTGCAGATCCAGACTAACACGGCCACCCCTCTGATACTTTTAACCTACCTAGTCACTCAATCATGGATTTAAAAGCCGCCATTCTTTTACAAACCAATTAGAGAGAGTCTGCAGAATTGGAATTTAGCTACAGATTTGACTCCGTTACCCCAGGCCTAAACAAAAACATTACTTGGCTGGCGCATAACAAAGCCTATTTCTCTTGCCATTAACATCTGCATTTCCATATCAAAAGCTGTGTATGGGACTTACATAATTACTTAGTACATAAATGCAGAAATACTTAATTACTTAGTACATAAACACTAAGTACATAAATACTTAATTAGCCACATCATCATGGGCCCTATAATTGACAGGTACTTCTGCTGTTATTTATATCTCTTGGTTTCTTTTAATTCCACTCCAATTCATCTGATGAAGTGGGTTTTGACCACAAAAGCAAAAATATATATTCCATATATTTTGGTTAGTTTCTAAGATGCCACTTGTCATTAAATTGCCAATTAGCAGCTCAGGTAACTAGGAGATGCCAGTCCCCATTTTAAGTAATGACAGGCACTTTACCTAAACTGTAATTAAAATAGAAAAGTTATAGTGTTGCCGTTTCCATTCATGCCCCATTGAATATTTTTTTCAGCCTTACCTCCACTGTGCTGTTTTCATTTTTCTTCTTCGATGGCTGGAGATGAAATACGGAAAAGCGGTTATGAGAGAGGATCCAATCTTTAGGTTTGTGCCAACACATGCCCTTCTTCATGCTCTCACAGAGAACCCACCCCTTGGCCTTTTCTTGGAAATACAGACAAAGTTTGTTTATTTTTAATTTTCCACAAAACATTTGCCAACATGCATTGATTGTGTAGGCTTCCACATGGTACATTCTGCCCTCCTAAGTTTTTTTGTTTAAAAAAAGGGGGGTGGAATTACATCCAAAACACAATGTTATTAATTTGTATTGTCATGCCTACAAGCCACAGTCCTCGAGCATGTCCCCATTGTGCTAGGCACAATGCAAACACAGCACAAAAAGGAAAATGGTGTTAAATTTGCAAAGCTACATGTTCAAAGGCTAGGAAAATCCAGTAAATAGTTTGCAGGTGCACTTTGATACTATCTTTATCTACAAGATCATGTACTGTTTGTTCTTAACAAACCCAGCCTCCTTCAGAGCACAGAGTAGATGAAACAAAGGTCTGTAAGAAGAGATAGGCCAGTCTCTTGTATTTCAGCCATTGCTCTGGGACACCTGAGTTCTATTCCCAGCTCCTCCACAGATATTCAGTGACTGATGTTGGGGAAGGCTACCATAACACATATGCAACAAGAGGAATTAATTAAGTTTATATGGGAAAGCTTAATTCTGGCATTTTTCTGAACTTCTTGGGTACTTGACTTTCCAAATAGCAAAGAATAAAAAAAGTAAAAGGTCTAGCCATTTGGTCTAGCACTAGTCACACCAATTGTGATCTTGGACAAAGGATAAAATGCCTTGTTTGATTCCTTTGGTCGGCAGAATCCCCCTAAGGAATGAGATCAACCATCCAAATCCTGAAGAGCCAGAAGAAGAAGAAGATGAAGATGTGCAAGCTGAACGGGCAAGAGTAAGGGGAACCATAGCTTCTGAAAATCAGCAAGAGGTAAAAAACTTCAAGTTGTCCTTTTCTGTCTCTTTACTCTTCCTATTTGTAAGTTACCCACTGGGGGAAAAATAGTAAACATCCACGTGGAAATCCAATGATGATTTTCCCCTTATATTTCTCCACTGCATGTTGAAATTGGCTTTCCAAGTGGAATTAGCAGATATCAGCAGAACTGAGAAGGCAACTTTTAAATAGAATGTAATTCGCTTTTATTCTAGTGCAATCTAAAGTGAATGATCTTTGGAATAAGATCTCTTTCAATGTCAAGCATGTTTTTATGAAGTTTGATAATTAGCAATGTAGCCTGCATAAGAGCTAATGTATATAGGCAAGAAAGATAGTCCAGTGGACAGAGCATTGACTCAGGACACAGAAATCAGTTTCCTGCTGTGACACAGAATTATTCTGTGACCATAACCAAGTCACTTAATCTCCTTGGCCACAGCTTCATAACTGTAAAATGGAGATTATAGTACTTAGTAAAGAGATGTTGTGTGTAGAATGAGAGGCACACAGATAATATGTTAATGGGAGCTATATATTCTCTAAATTAGCAAAAAAGCTACAGGCAGTCCCCGAGTTACGCGGATCCGACTTATGTCAGATCCGCACTTACGAACGGGGCTTTCTCGCCCCGGAGCTCGCAGGCAGCGGGACCACCCAGAGCGCAGCGGTCCTGCCACCTCGACCTCCGGGGTGAGAAAAGCTGCTCCGGGTGCCCCTGGTCTGCTGGGGACCGTCTCCAGCAGACCAGGGACACCCGGAGCAAAGCCAGGGAGGCGGAGGGGTCCCGCGCCTCTGAGGCTTTGCCAGAGCAAAGCCTCAGAGGTGCG